GAATTAGTGAAATTCATTCTTTAGATCTGTAGATGTTCTATCCTTCATATGTCATCAGTACAAAAGCAAACAATACTCCGTTCGTCTTGTATGTATAATGGTTATTAATACCCTTTGGAGATAGCAACTAGCATATCGTCATTGGGTGAGTGAATATTGTCTAACGCCGCTGTCTGGAACATTCGAGCCGTTACGACAGCCTGTAAGTAATCGAGTATAGGCCAAAGAAACCAATGTTGAATAGTGTGAGTGAGTGAGTATAGTTAATTGTCACGATGGACACCGGAAATAGGTATCATTGTGTATAAATCGAAGAATACTTCCCCTATTACATCATAGCCATAAATTCCTGTTTGGGCTGTAGTCACTCTATACAATCTAAAGATCTCTCAACAGACGTTCTTTTCAATGCCAACATATCTAATAGTTTTGAGGTAAACTCTATCCTCCGCACCAATGCAACTGCGCATGCCTGACATTCTCTTCTAGGTCTTCTAGGTCACTTCCAGTAGATATTATTTGCTGCACCTTGAGGCTAACGTAATGGTATCCATTACCACTAGTAAGGCTTATAAATATGTCGTCAATTCCTACTGGTGACATCACTTCCGTTTCCTGCCGGTGATGTTTACGCATATATTTGACATAATTCCCGTTACTGATGTCTCCTGTGATGTCACTTCCGGTGGCTTGCACATTGTTACAAAATTAACATATCGAAATCTTATATCATCTCGAACTATGATTCCAGACATAAGCCAGAGACGCTTCCACCGACCTTTTCGAAGCTCTTTGATATTGTTGTGTGACATTTGATGTGGTTCGTATGGTGGTTCCTTTAGTTCTGACGGTACAATTGATAAATTCTATTTTGGGAATGTGCGTGGTATTTTTAAGTCTTCCTCCTGTGAAAATGACTTCATAGGTCGACTTAGTTCTAGGTATATCTGGCATCACATTGTGACGCAGTTGCCACCAACGTATTTATGACAGTTGAGCTGGTGGAGGTTGAATAAGGTCACCTAGTTCTAGCTCTCCAGTTGTGTTTGCCATCCACCAATCCACCAATGGCGCGACCTGCACGGACTGGTCGTGTGAGCTTAAGATCATTGCTCTTGTCTTCTGGAGGTGCAAGGGTACGCTTGAGAAGTTGAAATCTTTCCCTATACAGATGATGTCTTGAGTAGTTAAAGTTTTGGACCCGGTTGTATCAAACTTTAATTATGCATTAACGTGTCATTAACCTTCATTAACTAATGTATCATTAGGGTTTAATGTAGCCATTAGTAAATGAGGCTTTGATACAACCGGGTCCTGGTCGTTAGAAAGTGAAGCTTGTATTCTCGCAGCCACGCGTCCATGATTGACTTCAAATTCTCCATGTACTGCCCATGACGACCCAGTTTAGTCCCAGAGTTGGCATTTTGAATTTCTGTAGTCTGCAATCGATGTCCATGAGAAATGAAATGTCGAAAGGATTTGGAGAAACACGAGGAACGTTTGACAAGTCATGCGCCTCCACCTCGGCTTCTACCTAGCTGCTCACTCGTGGGACATGATGGGCCACGAAAGAAGTCACACCCTGAAGTCTTTGCTTAAGTGGGTTTCGTTGTACCTGGTAATCGGCTGGACATTTCTTAATTTTGCTACCAAGAATGGAAGCATTCTGTGACCTGTCTATCCTCCTGATTATATTACCAGTAGAAGACGTGAACACGAGTGTACTCAGCCCTCCGGTCTACTCATACTTAAATACCGGATCTTCATAACCCGCACCTACAATTCAGGGCTTGGTCATCTGCCCTTCCTTGTCAGCAGGAACTCCTGAATTATATCATTGACTGCAAAATGTTCCTCCGGTAGTTTCCACATCATAGGCTGGTAGCAGAGTCCTACCCCGACTGCACTCGGGGGAGCCATGGTGATGAGATGGAATACTATTTCTGTAATCCCACCTGTGGCTTGAGATGCAAGAGGCACATTCCGAATAATTCTGATAGGCTGATGACCTGACATCGTCTGAGCTGTCGCCCGGAGCATGAGAATATGTGTAGGGACACGTCTGCTAGGCCTTCCCTAGCCTTCTCTGCTCGTCTGGAGTCATGTTGCTGATATCCCTGGGGAGACTGGTATCTGGCATCACACCCACTGCGACGAGATGTCCGTGGTGCACGATCTTTCTAGCAGTATCTCGGTGCTGAGGGACATTATTTTCCAATTGCACGATCTCCTGAGATACGGATACAAGGCGTTTGTCAATTAGCGCTGACATAGATGAAGTTAATGATTTGGAAAACTCATATGTTAAAGGGAGCGTATGGGACTCTGAGGCCTCTTCTTAATGTCGACATCCAGCGAGGTTCACCTGCTCTTTATTATCCTTGGTCAGGTGGGACGGCAACGAGATCTCCCCTCTCTAGGGGACACGGCGCCCAATGCGTCACCGTCAGGTCACCCAAGTGTCTCTCAGTGGAAGAAAGCAATCCATTTAACCCAACTTCATCCTATTCTTACGGTTGGCTTTTTTGCCTTGATAATTTCGGTTTTTGTACCCCAAGTCTTTTCAAGCTCCGCTCTTTATCAACGCCGCACCCTGAGCACACGCCGGAAGACGACCGAGAATACATTTCCGACTTGATTCTTATGCTCCCGATCTGTTAACGTCATCACTCAGCTTGTCTGTACTATTTCAAGAGAAGTGTTTAGATGTGATCAAAATTTCTTTAATGTTCACATCTGGACACACATGGACGAAGGACGTTTTCCCTCATGCGAAGTTGCATTGTTGCGGAGGATAGGGTTTACCTCAAAACTATTATATATGTTGGCAGGGAAGAGGACGTCTGTTGAAAAATCTAAAGATTTTATACGACTATTGCTCATACAGGAATTTAATGAGAATCGCCTTCGAAAAGAATACAACGGTTGAGAACCTATTCCAACCCAGGTCCGAACGGGGACTACTGAAGATAAGGAAACATATTTGAACTACCGAATCTGTACAGAAATAATGTGAGCGAGTGAGAGGCAGCCTGGTTTTATGATGCTATTTACGGTATACACTATAATAGATTGTTTGTTGTTAAATACTGTTAAATGCCACCACTCAGCAACATTCCAGCTATGCTATAGGATAGACACTATTTATAAATACATCCTTAAAGAGCATCATGTTATCGACGCGTTTGAATACGGCAGACCCTATTTATGGATATTTCCTTGGATCTCGCCACGTTTGAGTACGGCAGACTCAGCAGATAAATTCTTAGATCTCAACGCGCTTTGGCCGCCTCTGTATGACATACGCTGTTACTATTAATAGATGCATCCTTAAATGTCAGCGCGTTTTGGCCGCTTCTGTATAGGACATACGCTTTTAATAGATGCATCCTTAAATGTCAGCGCGTTTGGCCGCGTCTGTATGACATACGCTATTAACAGATGGATCCTTAAATGTCAGCGCGTTTAGGCCGCGTCTGTATAGGACATAGGCTATTAAGAGATGCATCCTTAAATGTCAGTGCGTTTTGGCCGCTTCTGTATAGGACATAGGCTATAAATAGATGCATCCTTAAATGTCAGTGCGTTTTGGCCGCTTCTGTATAGGAAACAGGCTATTAATAGATGCATCCTTAAATGTCAGTGCGTTTTGGCCGCTTCTGTATAGGACATAGGCTATTAATAGATGCATCCTTAAATGTCAGTGCGTTTTGGCCGCTTCTGTATAGGACATAGGCTATAAATAGATGCATCCTTAAATGTCAGTGCGTTTTGGCCGCTTCTGTATAGGAAACAGGCTATTAATAGATGCATCCTTAAATGTCAGTGCGTTTTGGCCGCTTCTGTATAGGACATAGGCTATTAATAGATGCATCCTTAAATGTCAACGCGTTTTGGCCGCTTCTGTATAGGACATAGGCTATACATAGATGCATCCTTAAATGTCAGTGCGTTTTGGCCGCTTCTGTATAGGACATAGGCTATTAATAGATGCATCCTTAAATGTCAACGCGTTTTGGCTGCTTCTGTTTAGGACATAGGCTATTAATAGATGCATCCTTAAATGTAAACGCGTTTTGGCCACTTCTGTATAGGACATATGCTATTAATAGATGCATCCTTAAATGTCAACGCGTTTTGGCCGCTTCTGTATAGGACATAGGCCTTTAATAGATGTATCCTTAAATGTCAGCGTGTTTTGGCCACTTCTGTATAGGACATATGCTATTAATGGATGCATCTTTAAATGTCAATGCGTTTTGGCCGCTTCTGTATAGGACATAGGCTATCGATAGATGCATTCTTAAATGTCAATGTGTAATGGCCGCTTCTGTATAGGACATACGCTATTAATAGATGCATTCTTAAATGTCAACACGTTTTGGCCGCTTCTGTATAGGACATATGCTATTTTAATAGATGCATCCTTAAATGTCAACGCGTTTTGGCCGCTTCTGTATAGGACATATGCTATTAATGGATGCATCTTTAAATTTCAACGCGTTTTGGCCGCTTCTGTATAGGACATATGCTATAAATATATGCATCCTGAAATGTCAGGGCGTTTTGGCCGCGTCTGTATAGGACATACGCTTTTAATAGATGCATCCTTAAATGCCGTTTAACATGAATACCCCACTCAGACACAGTATACGGACCAGTCCTGGTTTTAGCCCCTTAATGCCGAACGCCAGACAGGGTAACAACAAGTACCATCTTTCGACATATTTTGGTACGACGTGGCCGAGGATCGAACCCCAAACTCTCCTCTCTCTGGGTGGAAGCTCTACAACTAGCCCACAGAGGCGGTCTCACGACGAAGACCCAGGTTCAATTCCTGACATGGGTACAATGTGCGAATCCCATTTCTGGTGTCCCACCTGTGATATTGCTGGAATATTGCTAAAAGCGGCGTGAAACTCACTCAATCCATGACAAATAACAATAGGAACGATGACACTTGCTTTAAAGCGCCTAAAAAAAATCACACATTCCATATACATATTTCATATCAAGTTTATTAGCTAGAGTAAACGGTTTTCATAATTGATATAATCAAACTTTAACATAAACAGGCCAGTATATAATCAAAAGATAAATTCACGGGAGTATCAGGTATCAATAAACTCCGGCACATGTGTTACGTAACTGTATCACATGAGGTATCCTGTCAAAAACAACCTTGCAGGCATTCAGAAATGTGTAAAAATATCTAAAATAGTCCCAGAACCATTAGCACCAATAAGGATGGAACGCAACCTGCTTGACTGTTTCATATAACTGATACATATAGTTGCAATCTTTTCTTAATCCTTACAGTGGAACATGAAGGGTTAATTGGATATGCTTCACAATGACAACCAGGTGAATGAATGTATATGCATCAGTATGATGTATCAAAATTGCCACAACACGTGTATATCAGAACTCATATGAATGAACAAGAAAGTACAAACATAGCAATTTGACTCATGCTCACATGGTGTATCTGTGTCAGACATATATATCAGTGTCAGACAATTATGTATCAGGTCAGACACATATATATCAGTGTCAGACAATTATATATCAGGTCAGACAATTATGTATCAGGTCAGACAATTATATATCAGGGTCAGACAATTATATATCTGTGTCAGACAATTATGTAGCAGGTCAGACAATTATATATCAGGTCAGACAATTATATATCAGGGTCAGACAATTATGTATCAGGTCAGACATATATATCAGTGTCAGACACATATATCAGTGTCAGACAGTTATATATCAGTGTCAGACAATTATATATCAGTGTCAGACAATTATGTATCAGGTCAGACATATATATCAGTGTCAGTCAATTATATATCAGTGTCAGACAATTATATAACAGTGTCAGACAATTATATATCAGGGTCAGACAATTATATATCAGGGTCAGACAAATACATATGACTGGTATTAACACTCTCACTGTTACAGGGAGGGGAACACATATAACAGACTGAGCCAATTGTAAAATGATAAACGTCGGCATTCATACATTTAAAATTTGTGACATAAAACTTGCATAAAGCTGAACACATCTAAAACATCTAGTGTGGATACTGCCCAACTGAAGCACAACTGTGCAGTATACACTTATATAGTAGTCAGGCAGAGACAGCACACATGGCACGTATTCACCAGCACAACTGTGCAGTATACACTTATATAGTAGTCAGGCAGAGACAGCACACATGGCACGTATTCACCAGCACAACTGTGCAGTATACACTTATATAGTTATCAGGCAGAGACAGCACACATGGCACGTATTCACCAGCACAACTGTGCAGTATACACTTATATAGTAGTCAGGCAGAGACAGCAAACATGGCAAGTATTCACCAGCACAGCAATGTGTCAAGACGTTTAGTTGCTTTGTCCAAGGACTCTCTTTATATCCCTGAAACATACACTGTGGGACCTCTTTAATCTGGACGGTGACTAGGACGACTCTTCAGATATACACAGATGTTCCAATGAATGTCACTCAGAAGGATTTCACATCAACAATTTACTCGATTTGCGTAGCAAAGGTCACAACCACACGTTGTTTGTTTGTTTGTTTGTTTGTTTGTTTTACGCCACACTCAGCAATATATCCATTATATGTCAGCTGTACAAGACAATCCAGTGATTGACATCGTGAGCATCGATCCACACAACTGAGATACCATGACATACATCAACCAAGTCAGCGAGTCTGACCTCCCCATCCCATTAGTTGCCTCTTGCGTCAAGCATTGTCACCTTGTACAGCAAGCATGAGTTGCTGAAGATCTTGACAGGTAAAAGGACATGTCCTACAGCCCCTTGGCGTGCATTGAAATATTTGGAAGAGCAAAGGACTAGGATGTGCATATTGTTGTCAGTGAGCTACAACCCTACCCCAAATATCACAAACATGATATGTAAACCATGCTTAATTTTCCTTTAAAAATAACATCCACATGTTAATATGGTAGGCAACCCATCATAACATGTATGTTTTCACGGAGACCTTTGGTCTTCTCTCATACACTGCCACACTGCTCCGCAACTAATATACTGTAACCTCCATCACCTTGGGTCTTCCCTCCTACACTGCCACACTGCAACATAACGGACATACTGTACCTCCATCACCTTGGGTCTTCCCTCCTACATTGCCAAACTGCCACATAACTGACATACTGTAACCTCCATCACCTTGGGTCTTCCCTCCTACACTGCCACACTGCTCCGCAATTAATATACTGTAACCTCCATCACCTTGGGTCTTCCCTCCTACACTGCCACACTGCTCCGCAATTAATATACTGTAACCTCCATCACCTTGGGTCTTCCCTCCTACACTGCCACACTGCTCCGCAATTAATATACTGTAACCTCCATCACCTTGGGTCTTCCCTCCTACACTGCCACACTGCTCCGCAATTAATATACTGTAACCTCCATCACCTTGGGTCTTCCCTCCTACACTGCCACACTGCTCCGCAATTAATATACTGTAACCTCCATCACCTTGAGTCTTCCCTCCTACACTGCCACACTGCGACATAACGGACATACTGTAACCTCCATCACCTTGGGTCTTCCCTCCTACACTGACACACTGTGACATAACTGACATACTGTAACCTCCATCACCTTGGGTCTTCCCTCCTACACTGCCACACTGCTCCGCAATTAATATACTGTAACCTCCATCACCTTGGGTCTTCCCTCCTACACTGCCCCACTGCGACATAACTGACATACTGTAACCTCCATCACCTTGGGTCTTCCCTCCTACACTGCCACACTGCGACATAACGGACATACTGTAACCTCCATCACCTTGGGTCTTCCCTCCTACACTGCCCCACTGTGACATAACGGACATACTGTAACCTCCATCACCTTGGGTCTTCCCTCCTACACTGCCACACTGCGACATAACGGACATACTGTAACCTCCATCACCTTGGGTCTTCCTTCCTACACTGCCACACTGCGACATAACTGACATACTGTAACCTCCATCACCTTGGGTCTTCCCTCCTACACTGCCCCACTGCGACATAACGGACATACTGTAACCCCCATCACCTTGGGTCTTCCCTCCTACACTGCCACACTGTGACATAACTGACATACTGTAACCTCCATCACCTTGGGTCTTCCCTCCTACACTGCCCCACTGTGACATAACTGACATACTGTAACCTCCATCACCTTGGGTCTTCCCTCCTACCCTGCCCCACTGCGACATAACGGACATACTGTAACCCCCATCACCTTGGGTCTTCCCTCCTACACTGCCACACTGTGACATAACTGACATACTGTAACCTCCATCACCTTGGGTCTTCCCTCCTACACTGCCCCACTGCGACATAACTGACATACTGTAACCCCCATCACCTTGCGTCTTCCCTCCTACACTGCCCCACTGCGACATAACTGACATACTGTAACCCCCATCACCTTGGGTCTTCCCTCCTACACTGCCCCACTGCCACACTGACATAACTGACATACTGTAACCTCCATCACCTTGGGTCTTCCCTCCTACACTGCCCCACTGTGACATAACTGACATACTGTAACCTCCATCACCTTGGGTCTTCCCTCCTGCACTGCCACACTGCTCCCCAACTGAAATACTGTAACCTCCATCACCTTGGGTCTTCCCTCCTACACTGCCCCACTGCGACATAACATACATACTGTAACCTCCATCACCTTGGGTCTTCCCTCCTACACTGCCCCACTGCGACATAACGGACATACTGTAACCTCCATCACCTTGGGTCTTCCCTCCTACACTGCCACACTGTGACATAACATACATACTGTAACCTCCATCACCTTGGGTCTTCCCTCCTACACTGCCCCACTGCGACATAACGGACATACTGTAACCTCCATCACCTTGGGTCTTCCTTCCTACACTGCCCCACTGACATAACTGACATACTGTAACCTCCATCACCTTGGGTCTTCCCTCCTACACTGCCACACTGACATAACTGACATACTGTAACCTCCATCACCTTGGGTCTTGCCTCCTACACTGCCACACTGACATACTGTAACCTCCATCACCTTGGGTCTTCCCTCCTACACTGCCCCACACTGCCACAACTGACATACTGTAACCTCCATCACCTTGGGTCTTGCCTCCTACACTGCCACACTGACATACTGTAACCTCCATCACCTTGGGTCTTCCCTCCTGCCCTGCCACACTGTGACATAACTGACATACTGTAACCTCCATCACCTTGGGTCTTCCCTCCTACCCTGCCCCACTGAGACATAACTGACATACTGTAACCTCCATCACCTTGGGTCTTCCCTCCTACCCTGCCCCACTGTGACATAACTGACATACTGTAACCTCCATCACCTTGGGTCTTCCCTCCTACACTGCCCCACTGTGACATAACTGACATACTGTAACCTCCATCACCTTGGGTCTTCCCTCCTACACTGCCCCACACTGCCACAACTGACATACTGTAACCTCCATCACCTTGGGTCTTCCCTCCTACCCTGCCCCACTGCTACATAACTGACATACTGTAACCTCCATCACCTTGGGTCTTCCCTCCTACACTGCCACAACTGACATACTGTAACCTCCATCACCTTGGGTCTTCCCTCCTGCACTGCCACACTGTGACATAACTGACATACTGTAACCTCCATCACCTTGGGTCTTCCCTCCTACACTGCCACACTGTGACATAACTGACATACTGTAACCCCCATCACCTTGGGTCTTCCCTCCTACCCTGCCCCGCTGTGACATAACTGACATACTGTCACCTCCATCACCTTGGGTCTTCCCTCCTACCCTGCCCCGCTGTGACATAACTGACATACTGTAACCTCCATCACCTTGGGTCTTCCCTCCTACACTGCCACACTGCGACATAACTGACATACTGTAACCTCCATCACCTTGGGTCTTCCCTCCTACACTGACCCGAACTGCCACAACTGACATACTGTAACCTCCATCACCTTGGGTCTTCCCTCCTACCCTGCCACACTGTGACATAACTGACATACTGTAACCTCCATCACCTTAGGTCTTCCCTCCTACCCTGCCCCACTGCCACACTGACATAACTGACATACTGTAACCTCCATCACCTTGGGTCTTCCCTCCTGCACTGCCACACTGCGACATAACTGACATACTGTAACCTCCATCACCTTGGGTCTTCCCTCCTACACTGCCACACTGTGACATAACGGACATACTGTAACCCCCATCACCTTGGGTCTTCCCTCCTGCACTGCCCCACTGCGACATAACTGACATTCTGTAACCTCCATCACCTTGGGTCTTCCCTCCTACACTGCCACACTGTGACATAACATACATACTGTAACCTCCATCACCTTGGGTCTTCCCTCCTACACTGCCCCACTGTGACATAACTGACATACTGTAACCTCCATCACCTTGGGTCTTCCCTCCTACACTGCCCCACTGCCACACTGTGACATAACTGACATACTGTAACCCCCATCACCTTGGGTCTTCCCTCCTACACTGCCACACTGTGACATAACATACATACTGTAACCTCCATCACCTTGGGTCTTCCCTCCTACACTGCCACACTGCGACATAACGGACATACTGTAACCTCCATCACCTTGGGTCTTCCCTCCTACACTGCCACACTGCGTCATAACTGACATACTGTTACCTCCATCACCTTGGGTCTTCCCTCCTACACTGCCCCACTGCCACACTGACATACTGTTACCTCCATCACCTTGGGTCTTCCCTCCTACACTGCCCCACTGCCACACTGACATACTGTAACCTCCATCACCTTGGGTCTTCCCTCCTACACTGCCCCACTGCCACACTGACATACTGTAACCTCCATCACCTTGGGTCTTCCCTCCTGCACTGCCCCACTGCGACATAACTGACATACTGTAACCTCCATCACCTTGGTTCTTCCCTCCTACACTGCCACAGTGTGACATAACGGACATACTGTAACCCCCATCACCTTGGGTCTTTCCTCCTACACTGCCCCATTGTGACATAACGGACATACTGTAACCCCCATCACCTTGGGTCTTTCCTCCTACACTGCCCCACTGTGACATAACGGACATACTGTAACCCCCATCACCTTGGGTCTTCCCTCCTACACTGCCCTGCTGTGACATAACGGACATACTGTAACCCCCATCACCTTGGGTCTTCCCTCCTACACTGCCCCGCTGTGACATAACGGACATACTGTAACCCCCATCACCTTGGGTCTTCCCTCCTACACTGCCCCGCTGTGACATAACGGACATACTGTAACCCCCATCACCTTGGGTCTTCCCTCCTACACTGCCCCGCTGTGACATAACGGACATACTGTAACCCCCATCACCTTGGGTCTTCCCTCCTACACTGCCCCACTGCGACATAACTGACATACTCTAACCTCCACCTTGAAAAACCTTGAGAAGGAAACATTTTTTCTTAACCCTGACATAAAAGGATCATATAGCCTGAGTGAGCGACACTGTTCCTTTCACTGTTCTGGTGCATTCTTTTCATTTCGTGATCATGTATCACCACTTTCAGCCAATGATAACCCTGAACTGTAAGTCCAGGAACAATGCAGGACAGAGCTGTATGAAGTGTTTGACCTAGAGATCAGATTGCGATGTAGTCATGTCTCAGGTGATATAGTGTGTGGGCAGGTGTTTCCATGACCCACATTTCACATCGGCTGCATACTAATGTCCATGCATGCTATTATTTAGTCTTTGAAAGTATTTAGAAGTGATACACACAAGGAAGAGATTTATGGATGTCGACTTCTTTATTGAGGAACACATCATTTCGGAATATATGCTTCCTCCTTCATCAGGTGAATGAATGCTGTGAGGCAGAGAGCATACTGTAACCTCCATATCATATGCTGTCACTGCCTCATGGCATTCATTTCACTGTTCTAGTGGATTTTTTTCATTTCATGATCATGTATCAACACTTCCAGCCAATGATAACTCGTGTGATAAAGTTGACATCCATAAATTCTCTTCCTTAATCTATTATTTACATTTCATGCTGAAAAGATGCAGCCATAGGTACTGCAGCTCACTTAAATTGTTCTTGACGATTTGCAACATTTTGTAGATGAAGAGAGACGTAAGAGATGTTGCTACACAACAGATATGCTCATCAATCACGAGATTGTCTGGTCCAGACTCGAATATTTTCAGATAGCCATCATATAGCTGGAATACTGCTGAGTGAAGCATTAAACAACAAAAAAAAGAAGAAAAAAAAGAACAACAGAAATCCTAATTTGATACACAGCTGATTGGGTGAGTCTCGGATCACATGTAACCAAATATAAAACTACAAATGTGTCATCAGGGAGATGGCGCATACGTGGTGACCTGGTACCGAATCCCTTTGTCTTTCCAAATATCCAAAATGCAAAAACTAGGTTTAAGGGGTGGTATGTGAAGGTCAAAGGTCATATTAAGGTAAAAAAAAGAAGAGGTCTAAATATATCCATATAGAAACATAATTTCGGCATTATCTTGAAATACACATAATTTTGGACAAATGTGACATTTTCAATATAGCTCCCATTGCTTAATTTTAGAGACACTATTAATTGGCTTATCAGGGCATGGTTTCAGCTTCCAATAAGCAGGTATCAGAAGAGATTAATTAAAAAGGTTTAGGCGAGACATAAGAATTGATGGTGGATGACTGGAATGACAGACAATGTACCTGGTACACCACCATAACCCAGCAGTATTCCTGCTATAAACAAGTAGTAGTGACATGTCTATTGTCTTTGATTATTGCCTTAGAAACCAACATCAACAATATTAACCATTGAATATACACTTGAAAACTTTAACAAGGGTATTATGGTAAAAATCGTTTTCTCTTAAATTATGCAACATTTCACAAGACTTTGTGGATCAACTGTGGTTGATAGAGTAAATTATTGAAAGTTATAATTAAATAAATACACAACCATGAAACACAAACAAAAATAACAATGTTTTGAAATGGTAGAAGACATGTCTGTATGTATAAGGGGAGAAAAAAAACTGAGGTACAGCCAGCATTGGTTGGTTGGTTTGGTTTGTTGTCTAACGCCGCACTCAGCAATATTCCAGCTATATGACGGCGGTCTGTAAATAATCGAGTCTGGACCAGACAATCCAGTGATTGATATCATGAGCATCGATCCAAGCAATTGAGATCGATGACATGTATCAACCAAGTCAGCGAGCCTGACCACCCGATCCTGTTAGTCGCCTTTTACGACAAGCATAGTCGCCTTTTACGGCAAGCATGGGTTGCTGAAGACCTATTCTACCCCGGAATCGTCACAGGTCGCAGCCAGCATTGGCTGTTGGGGACCTATTCTGACCCAGAATTCACAGGGAGACAAACATGGGGTGATGGTCCCAAATTTGCCAAGGAATCATAATTTGAAAATAAAACAATATGAACAACATTCTAACAAGTATGGCAGTGTCTAACTTCATATATACAAAGAAATATAAGACAGCTATGCGATAAATCGCAAGGAACAATGAAGAACAAAGCGTGGTTTATTTCACGATAAGACATTGTTCTATTATGACGTCATTTCTGGATATTCGAACATGTGCTCACAACTTGATGATGTCTGTATATTGGACAACAATATTTTTTAGAGGGAAGTGTCTCGTGACTTGTTCCCCATAGATGTAGCTGGGCAACACAGATAAACGCAGTGGCTGAACGATCACTTCCAAAAGTGAGGGGATATGATGGAGAAAAGGTACAGATAATCGACGTGAAAATATGGAAATATGCCAGAAATACAAACTTAACTCCCCTGTTAATAAAATGGACTTGTCCAACATTGCCGTGGTCGGATTCTATTCAGGGAGTCATCATTATTCAAATATAGGAACATATTTTAAAAGGTGTACTTTTTACTAACATCCTTAAAATGGCTGTACATAATGTTGAAATCTCGTATAAAATTAAATGACTCAAGGTCGTTGCTTATCTTACAATAAAACACTGCAGGGAGAATAAACCACCTGGACCTAGGCTCTCATGGTTAATTCTCCCTGTAGTGTTTTATAGTACGATAAACAACGACCATGAGTCATTTATTTCTTAAATGCAGAATATTATTGTTTGTGTTTAGATATGCATGTTTTTTCTTGATGTAACCTGCGCATGGATGTGCAGGCACCAACAGTTCACCACAGTGCACGCATGAGTTTACCACGTTGTGTCTACAACACTTGCTATATTGAACACCAACCTACTCACAGGCTTACTTACAGTGACTCATAGGCCAAGGGTTCCGGACATGTTGGCACACAATCACAGGTTGAGGTTCGAGAGAGATGCAGAATGCAGGTACTAATGTACAACAAACATGGAACATTTCAAGTTTGTTGGTGCAGAGGAAACTATTCCTTCTTGTGCTTGAGGGCCAGCCATCGCTCGACCTCCATGGCATTCTGTAGGTTGACATAGATGAGAAAGTATAACGCTGTGCCGCTCTTGAGGGTAGCTGTAATAAAACAAGAAGACTTACAAGTTTCATCATAGATTGTTTGATTGTTTGTTTGTTTGATGTTACCGCCACAATCCAGCAATATTCCAGCTATATGATGGTGGCTGTAAATAATCCAATCTGGACCAGTGACAATATTATGAACAAGCATGGGGGTATTGCAGACCTATTGTAACCAAGAACCCACTGCAAGACAAGCACAGGGTATTGGGGACCTATTGTAACCTAGAACCTACTTGGAGACAAGCATGGGGTATTGGGGACCTATTGTAACCTAGAACCTACTTGGAGACAAGCATGGGGTATTGGGGACCTATTGTAACCTAGAACCTACTTGGAGACAAGCATGGGGTATTGTGGACGTATTCTAACCAAGAATCTACTGGGAGACAAGCATGGGGCATTGTGGACGTATTCTAACCTAGAATCTACTGGGAGACAAGCATGGGGAATTGTGGACGTATTCTAACCAAGAACCTACTGGGAGACAAGCATGGGGTATTGGGGACGTATTCTAACCTAGAATCTACTGGGAGACAAGCACGGGGTATTGGGGACCTATTGTAACCTAGAATCTACTGGGAGACAAGCACGGGGTATTGTGGACGTATTCTATCCTAGAATCTACTTGGAGAAAAGCATGGGGCATTGTGGACGTATTCTAACCTAGAATCTACTGGGAGACAAGCATGGGGTATTGGGGACCTATTGTAACCAAGAATCTACTGGGAGACAAGCATGGGGTATTGTGGACGTATTCTAACCTAGAATCTACTGGGAGACAAGCATGGGGCATTGTGGACGTATACTAACCAAGAATCTACTGGGAGACAAGCATGGGGTATTGGGGACGTATTCTAACCTAGAATCTACTGGGAGACAAGCATGGGGTATTGGGGACCTATTGTAACCTAGAATCTACTGGGAGACAAGCGCGGGGTATTGTGGACGTATTCTATCCTAGAATCTACTTGGAGACAAGCATGGGGCATTGTGGACGTATTCTAACCTAGAATCTACTGGGAGACAAGCATGGGGTATTGCAGACCTATTGTAACCTAGAATCTACTGGGAGACAAGCATGGGGTATGGCAGACCTATTGTAACCTAGAATCTACTGGGAGACAAGCATGGGGTATTGCAGACCTATTGTAACCTAGAATCTACTGGGAGACAAGCATGGGGTATTGCAGACCTATTGTAACCTAGAATCTACTGGGAGACAAGCATGGGGTATTGCAGACCTATTGTAACCTAGAATCTACTGGGAGACAAGCATGGGGTATTGCAGACCTATTCTAACCTAGAATCTACTGGGAGACAAGCATGGGGTATTGCAGACCTATTCTAACCTAGAATCTACTGGGAGACAAGCATGGGGTATTGCAGACCTATTGTAACCTAGAATCTACTGCAAGACAAGCACGGGGTATTGCAAACCTATTGTAACCTAGAATCTACTGGGAGACAAGCATGGGGTATTGCAGACCTATTGTAACCAAGAACCCACTGCAAGACAAGCACAGGGTATTGACAAGAATCCACTGGGAGACAAGCACGGGGTATTGCAGACCTATTGTAACCTAGAATCCACTTGGAGACAAGCATGGGGTATTGCAGACCTATTGTAACCTAGAATCTACTTGGAGACAAGCATGGGGCATTGTGGACGTATTCTTACCTAGAATCTACTGGGAGACAAGCACGGGGTATTGCAGTCCTATTGTAACCTAGAATCTCCTGGGAGACAAGCATGGGGTATTGCAGACCTATTGTAACCTAGAATCCACTGGGAGACAAGCATGGGGTATTGCAGACCTATTGTAACCTAGAATCTACTGGGAGACAAGCATGGGGTATTGCAGACCTATTGTAACCTAGAATCTACTGGGAGACAAGCATGGGGTATTGCAGACCTATTGTAACCTAGAATCTACTGGGAGACAAGCATGGGGTATTGCAGACCTATTGTAACCTAGAATCTACTGGGAGACAAGCACGGGGTATTGCAGACCTATTGTTACCAAGAACCCACTGCAAGACAAGCACGGGGTACTGGGGACCTATTCTGACCAAGAATCCACTGCAAGACAAGCACAGGGTACTGGGGACCTATTCCGACCCAGAATCTACTGGGAGACAAGCATGGGGTATTGAGGACCTATGCGGACCAAGAATCCACTGCAAGACAAGCACAGGGTACTGGGGACCTATTCTGACCTAGAATCGACTGCAAGACAAGCACGGGGTACTGGGGACCTATTCTGACCTAGAATCCACTGCAAGACAAGCACGGGGTATTGCGCACCTATTCTGACCTAGAATCGACTGCAAGACATGCACGGGGTACTGGGGACCTATTCTGACCTAGAATCTACTGGGAGACAAGCATGTGGTATTGGGGACTTATTGTAACCAAAAATCCACTGCAAGACAAGCAAGGGGTATTGACAAGAATCCACTGGGAGACAAGCATGAAGTATTGGGGACCTATTCTGACCAAGAATCCACTGCAAGACACGCATAGGGTATTGCGGACCTATTCTGACCAAGAACCCACTGCAAGACAAGGACGGGGTACTGGGGACCTATTCTGACCTAGAATCTACTGGGAGACAAGCATGGGGTATTGGGGACCTATTGTTACCAAGAATCCACTGCAAGACAAGCAAGGGGTATTGATAAGAATCCACCGGGAGACAAGCATGAAGTGTTGGGGACCTATTCTGACCAAGAATCCACTCCAAGACACGCATGAAGTATTGGGGACCTATTCTTACCAAGAATCCACTGCAAGACAAGCATGAAGTATTGGGGACCTATTCTGACCAAGAATCCACTGCAAGACAAGCACGAGGTATTGACAAGAATCCACTGGGAGACAAGCATGGAAATTGGGGGCCTATTCTGACCAACAATCCACTGCAAGGCAAGCACGGGGTATCGGGGACCTATTCTGACCTATAATCTACTGGGAGACAAGCACAGGGTATCGGGGACCTATTCTGACCGAGAATCTACTGGGAGACAAGCATGGGGTATTGCGGACCTATTCTGACCTGGAATCCCCTAGGAGACAAGCATGGGGTAATGGTGACCTATTCTGACCTGGAATCCCCTAGGAGACAAGCATGGGGTATTAGGGATCTATTCTGACCTAGAATCAACTGCTAGACAGCATAATCCAGGATCTCATTCTGACACGGAATCCCCACAGGGTCTTCTTAAAAAGATGTTTTTGTGATTATGCATGGACCTACTTCCTGTCACAGGGTATTATTGGCATTTCTTGCCCATGATCCTGCACATACTGTCAAGGGAAATAATATTATGAAAATCTGTCATCAACCAACTTTACTGAATCTAGCTCCAGTCAGACTCAGGGAGAAGGTGAGTCATCAACAACGGCGATCGAGATGCAGACTGATCCATGCCACCGCCTACCTGGCTACCTGTGTGACCATGACACACAAACACTGGGTGGATGTGTTGTACATATTTAATCACACGACGGTCATGAACAGCATACAAACATGGACACACATGTACATCTTTGGATTAATCTTCAGGATTGACTTAAGCTCAAAGCCAGAGTTCAGTGTGGGAGTCCTAGGTCATAATTAAGGGTATATGAGATTCAACCCTGGACTCAGTAGAGCCTGGACTCAATAGAGCCTGGACTCAGTAGAGCCTGGACTCAATAGAGCCTGGACAGTAGAGCCTGGACTCAGTAGACACTGGACTCAGTAGAGCCTGGACTCAGTAGACACTGGACTCAGTAGAGCCTGGACAGTAGAGCCTGGACTCAGTAGACACTGGACTCAGTAGACACTGGATTCAGTAGAGCCTGGACTCAGTAGACACTGGACTCAGTAGACACTGGACACAGTAGAGCCTGGACTCAGTAGAGCCTGGAATCAGTAGAGCCTGGACTCAGTAGACACTGGACTCAGTAGACACTGGACTCAGTAGAGCCTGGACTCAGTAGACACTGAACTCAGTAGAGCCTGGACTCAGTAGACACTGGACACACTAGACACTGGACTCAGTAGAGCCTGGACTCAGTAGACCCTTGACTCAGTAGGCACTGGACTCAGTAGAGCCTGGACTCAGTAGAGCCTGGACAGTAGACACGGGACTCAGTAGAGCCTGGACTCGGTAGAGCCTGGACTCAGTAGACACTGGACTCAGTAGAGCCTGGACAGTAGACACTGGACTCAGTAGAGCCTGGACTCAGTAGACACTGGACACAGTAGAGCCTGGACTCAGTAGAGCCTGGACTCAGTAGATACTGGACTCAGTAGACACTGGACTCAGTAGAGCCTGGACTCAGTAGACACTGGACTCGGTAGAGCCTGGACTCAGTAGACACTGGACTCAGTAGACCCTGGACTCAGTAGAGCCTGGACTCAGTAGACCCTGGACTCAGTAGAGCCTGGACTCAGTAGACACTGGACACAGTAGAGCCTGGACTCAGTAGACCCTGGACTCAGCAGACACTGGACTCAGTAGAGCCTGGACTCAGTAGAGCCTGGACTCAGTAAACACTGGACTCAGTAGACACTGGACTCAGTAGAGCCTGGACTCAGTAGACACTGTACTCGGTTGAGCCTGGACTCAGTAGACACTGGACTCAGTAGAGCCTGGACTCAGTAGACCCTGGACTTAGTAGAGCCTGGATCAGTAGACACTGGACTCAGTAGACACTGGACTCAGTAGAGCCTGGACTCAGTAGACCCTGGACTTAGTAGAGCCTGGATCAGTAGACCCTGGACTCAGTAGAGCCTGGACTCAGTAGCCCTGGACTTAGTAGACACTGGACTCAGTAGAGCCTGGTCTCAGTAGAGCCTGGACTCAGTAGACACTGGACTCAGTAGAGCCTGGACTCAGTAGACACTGGACTCAGTAGAGCCTGGACTCAGTAGAGTCTGGACTCAGTAGACACTGGACTCAGTAGAGCCTGGTCTCAGTAGAGCCTGGACTCAGTAGACACTGGACTCAGTAGAGCCTGGACTCAGTAGACACTGGACTCAGTAGAGCCTGGACTCAGTAGACACTGGACTCAGTAGAGCCTGGACTCAGTAGAGTCTGGACTCAGTAGACACTGGACTCAGTAGAGCCTGGACTCAGTAGACACTGGACTCAGTAGACACTGGACTCAGTAGAGCCTGGATCAGTAGAGCCTGGATCAGTAGAGCCTGGATCAGTAGACCCTGGACTCAGTAGAGCCTGGACTCAGCAGCCCTGGACTCAATAGAGCCTGGACTAAGTAGACCCTGGATTCAGTAGAGCCTGGACTCAGTAGAGCCTGGACTCAATAGAGCCTGGACTCAATAGAGCCTGGATCAGCCAAGAGACACATTTCTGCACAGTGAATTGTGGCACCTAGGAGACCCTCCCCCCTTTACTGTTGGAAACTATTTATCAAGACCTTAATGTCAAGACCACCAAACCATCCATACAGATGATGATAATGAACGATACTACTAAGGGGGGAGCTCTACCTGGATGTACAACGTGAACTATGGTGATGAGTGAGTGAGTGATTATGTTTTTACGCCGCATTTAGCAATATTCCAGCACTATCACCTCGGGGAACACAAGAAATGGGCTTCACTCATTGTACCCATGTCGGGAATCGAACCCTGGTCTTCAGCGTGACACGATGATGATAATAGACACTGATGGCGCTACAATCGATCCCAAAAATTCCAGCCTAGTTCAGCAAGGGTGGAAACTGGATTTTTACAGTCAGTCAACTCCTTTGCCTCGGGAAGATGGAGCCTCTTCAACAGAAGACTCTACAATCTCGGGAACAGCATTACTCAGTTAAAATCAATACAATATCTACATATATGTAACTGTTTGCCTGCTGACAGTCTCTTAGCAACAGATACTACAGTGGGCAGATCATTATAATATACAGCTTTAAACACCTTCTCAGCAGAGAGGGTTCTACAGCTAGCTTTAGAAAAAGTCCTTGACTGGCAAACATACATCTAGTAAACAACACATAAATATATCTTGATGACAGCGACTTGTCAGGTCAATAAAAACAAACAGCTAGTGGGAATATTCAATGGGCAGAAGCTGTTTGTGATGCTGATCATGAAGGTATTCTAAAGAAAGGTTGACAGCCTGGCTTGTGTGCCTTGTATCAGCATTGTGTGTCTTGTAGGAGACAGCAGAAGAAGACAATTACAAAACACTTATTAAACATCAAACATAATTTCTTTGAAAATGCTCCTATCACTTCATCACATGCTTGTAGGAGCTGAAGAATGAAGGGTTATAGCTAAAACGGCAACTCAGCAAAACGGCACCAGATGGCCAAAACTTGACCTTGTCTAAAGCGAAAACAGCACCTTATTTTAACTACTGTGAGACATTGAGTGAGTGAGTGAGTATGGTTTTACGCCGCTTTTAGCACTATTCCAGCAATATCACGGCGGGGGACACCAGAAATGGGCTTCACACATTGTACCCATGTCGGGAATCAAACCCGGGTCTTCGGCGGGACGAGCGAACACTTTCACCACTAGGCTACCCGACCACCCCTATGAGACATTGAAGATGACAATGATAAGTAATGAATCACTGAATAAAGAATATATACTATTACAAAAATCGTTCTCATCGAGGTGCTGTTTTCATTTGACAATTAGTAGCCGTTTTCACCAAAATCGGTGTTTGTTTTTGCCGGAGAAATCAGTGATGTTTTTCTGAGGTGCAATTTTAGCCTGCACCTAAGAATGATAGTGCGTCTCAGTGACTTGGCTGATTATATGTCACTGTGACCCCAATCCATGGATCATTGCTCATGGTTTCAGTCACTGGTTTGATTGATCCAGACTTTATTATTCATAGCCAATCATGTACCGTATATTGCTGTGTATAAGGCGAGTTTTTTGTGGCGATTAAATTACTCACCATTGTCTCTTATATGTTATTACTTCATAAATGAATTTTATTTTACGGGCACCAATTTGGTGTCGTACCGTGTAAACACAAAATGGCAACATGTGCTGGAGTTACACACGCGACCAATCATCGTAGAAAAAACAACGCAAGATAAACATATTTTTATTGCATATATAAGGTTTGTGTGCGTACTTGTGATGTGCTTCATTCCAGGTCGCCTTATACACGGAGTTTAGGATTTTGGGTTGATTTTGAAGGCGTGTACAGGGGGGTCGCCTTATACGTGGGTTCGCCTTATACACAGCGATATACGGTAGCTGGAATATTGCTGACTGCGACATTAACCACACTCACTAACTCATGGGGATCACCTGCCATATATTGTTTGTTTGTTTATTTGTTGTTTAACGCCGTACTCAGCAATATTCCAGCTATATGACGGCGGTATGTAAAATAATCATCACTGGACCAGACAATCCAGTGATTGACATCATGAGCATCGATCCATACAATTGGGATACAATGAGCATAGTTGCCTTTTACGGCAAGCATCGGTTGCTGAAGACCTATTCTACCCCGGGTCTTCATAATGGGATGACCTATTGAATACATGTCGTAACCATATGGGGATGACCCATTGAATACACGACTTATAACCATATGGGGATGACCCATTGAATACATGTTATAACCATATGGAGATGACCCATTGAATACATGTTATAACCATATGGAGATGACCCATTGAATACATGTTAATACCATATGGGGATGATCAATGACACCCAAATGTCCCCCCTCCTCACCCCACTCCCCTCCCCACCATTACCCAAATCTCCTGACACCGTAGACATGGAACAAATTCTTACACCCAATAAGCTACATTTACATATGTCCGTTGGTTTACAGAAGGCATAACACAACATCCTAGATTACATTACATAGAGCCCACAAACTTTCCTTTTTTGTCTTCTTTATTTCTAGATTTTGAAAAAAACATATAATTCAAACCATGTTTCATCTCAAAACATATTTGCTGTGAAACAGGATATTTCATACATGCAAGAAAATTCTCAAAAAAAATCAAATGCTGTATAAACTAAGAAGTAGAAAACTCCACCTTGGATTATAAGCCTCTGCAGGAAGACGGTGCCGAACGCCATCCCGCTGAAGAAGTAGAAGACAGAAAGGCAGGACATGAGGAAGAGTGGGACGACTATGATACATCGGAGGCGTCGAACCATCGCTGGCGACAGGAAGCTGGCCTGCACAGATCAAAAACAGCAAAAAATACACCAGTAATGACATGCTGAGGTAAAAATAGCTGTGAACATAATACTGAATGTCATCAGAACTGCGACTGTAACATGAAGCGGTCCTTGCTGCAACAAACACAGTGTTGTAGATGAATGACTGGTAGGTGTCAAACAGTAAATGATTACAGGAATTATTCAGGGGATGATGGTCAAAATAGGGTCTAATAGTCCAAATAGGGTCTAATAATCAAAGTAGGGTCTAATAGTCAAAATAGAGTCTAATAATCTTAAGGATTAGATCCAGGATCCAAAATAGAATTTAGATCAATTATTGAGAAAAAACACTGGTTGCTGTAATTCCCTGAATACACAATGCCTTCTAGAAAGAGGTGAAACATAACATGTTTTGGGAGGATTTTTTAGTAAAGTAAATTTTAGTACCTTTTTGGGTTGAGACCCATCTGAGTGCCAGAGTGAGGCACCTAATCGCCAGCTAACAAAGTAAGCCCACTCAGCCACCAAGGCTTCCACAAAATAGCAGTCTGATAACTGTAGTGTAACAATGATCTAGACTACTAGAGTTGGTTGGTTGGGTTGTTGTTTAACGCCGCACTCAGCAATATTCCAGCTATCTGACGGCGGTCTGTAAATAATCGAGTCTGGACAAGACAATCCAGTGATTAATATCATGAGCATTGGTCCACGTAATTGGGATCAATGACATGCATCAAGCAAGTCAGCGAGTCTGACCACCTGATCCTGTTAGCCGCCTTTTACGGCAAGCATGGGTTGCTGAAGACCTTTTCTACCCCGGATCTTCACGGCAAGCATGGGTTGCTGAAGACCTTTTCTTCCCCGGATCTTCACGGGTCAGACTACTACAGGGTCAGATCGTGGCGGAGTGGGTTAGATAGCCGACTAGGTGCATCACTCTGAGAGTGTGGGTTCAAATCCCGGACGGGACTCAACCGTAGAAGGTCCTACCTTCATTCATCGACCCTGCTCTCACTACACATGTACAGAACCAACTCAGTATTGGACAGTGAAACTGTCACACGCTTGACAGAACTGTTCCATAGGAACTTGTATGGATAGATTGATATTGTTTGATAGGCATTACTTAGAAGTTGACGGATGACAAAGTAAACACAAAATATGGATGACGACTTCTTTAATACCATAAAGGCAATGTTTCGTATAGATCCTTATTCAGCTGTCAGCAGTCTTGCTTGACAAAGGTATAAGGATCTATACTGAAACGTCGCCTTTACAGTATTAAAGAAGTCGTTATCCATAAATTTTGTCCACTTTAAAGATTAATATCATTTATTAAGAATATAAATTGTATAATGCAAGAATTTGGTGAGCACAATACATTTCTAAAATATTATATTTATGATACGGAAACTCACAAGGGTCATAATCTCTTCATCATAAAATTTCATATTTCTAAAATATAATATTTATGATACGGAAACTCACAAGGGTCATAATCTCTTCATTATAAAATTTCATATTTTGAAAATATAATATTTATGATACGGAAACTCACAAGGGTCATAATCTCTTCATTATAAAATTTCATACTTAAAATAATGCATGTTTAAGACGTAATTTTATCTTAATGAAGTAGCTTCAGAAATTGTGTATGGATATAATTTTGCCAAATGACTTAGAGCCATGTTTGTGGCCATATTGGGAACGTTAATTGATGGTTTATTGAGACAGACAATCTCATTAAAATAAGATCTTAGTTCTCGCCATCGCTAAACAAAGATCTGAGGACATCCCATTAAGGGTCACGTCAGAGCGACCATTCTGAAAATGCATTTTAAACAAGTGAAACTGATGAAACAATGTCATTATTCAAAATTAGAAATTACACCAACCATAACCATCTATCGATTCTGATTTCAGCCTAAGTCAATGTCATTCACATGGATACTCGAAAAATAATTTCTTTTAAAATCCCAAACTATCAAAAGACACCAGTTCACCACTAGAACTGTCTATGTGCTATATCTCTTATGGTTTTTGAGCTCTGCTGTGGAAACGAAATGTGATGGATGGACGGACGGAAGGGCAGAAAGACAGATGGACAGATGGACAGCACCCATTCCTATATCCCCCTTCCACTTCGTGATGGGAGTGATAATGAATGTCCACTATACAAGCACGCCAAGTCTAGTTGTTGATCACTTGCTTGATGAATGTACCAGCATTTCCGAAATGACACATTGAAAGAATAATGATGCTGACATCTAAAAGTCAACCATGTATTCCACAAATATTTCACTAAAAACACGTAACTTGTGACTCGATAACGATAAAGTCGATTTCTGTGTCAGTAGTGGAGTGTAGGGGATTTTTCATGCTGAAGCTCTCAGTCATGATTTGCTAATGTGCTTTGTTAAAATATATCTTATTTGAGAGGCATTTAGAAGTCGGAGTACTAAGTAGGATAAAACATATGGATAAACAATGTCTTTATTACAGTAAAGAGAGACATTTTGATTTCTCCTAATTGTTATAAAGAAGTGGTTCATCCATATATCTTATCCTTGCTTAAAATATATCATAACTCGTTTTGTTGCAAACGTCAAATGAAAAAAATACGGTGGCCCATACCCGACACTGGTGAGATCATTTTTCACTGTATGCCTCTACATTTATCTGGTGGCCACCAAATACTTTTCTGGCGGCCGCCAGATACTTCCACTGGTGAGATCAAATATAGAGGTTTACAGGGGAAAATGATCTCACCAGTGGAAGTATCTGGCGGTCGCCAGACAAAATATAGACGCATACAATGAAAAATGATCTCACCAGTGGCGGGTATGGGCCACCATAGAAAACATACAACTTAGATAAAAACCTCTAGTTTATTGCATTTAGCAACATTTCGATGTAGATTCCTATGCCGTTATCAAGCTGCCAAAATGCAAGAAAAATCTATATGGTATTTTATTTAAATATCAAAAGGTTTCAATAAAGGTCATCATTATCTTGAAACAATAATCCACATGAGACCGACATATCAAATGTCTTGTTTACTTATTGTTAACCTACCATTAATACTGGAACCACACAATGGTGTCGGGGCACCTTTCACAATGTCTATTGCAGGAACATTTGTCAAAGAGAATTCAATCTGGCGCTGGATTACAAAATAAATTGGATTGCTTGATCACAATATTCCATGATTAAACTTACATAACCTGAATCAAAGAAATATCAGTTTGTTTCCATGGCAACTGCACACATAAGCGTTAACCAAAGAAAATATAATGAGGAGGCTGAAAAATCTCTATGTACCACGATTAAATAAACTTGTGCAAATACGCAAAACTCCCAGAGATTACTGAAGTAGGACCTTGCTAGACAATCAGCACAACAAAAGCAATATCTGTTCTTGTATTTCGTGTAGCGCTCATATTTCAGAATGAATCAGATGGACTTGAAATAATATAAAATTAAAATAAAATTAGGCTAAAGTGTAATATCTGTTGTTGTTATTCGTGAAGCGCTCATGTTTCAGAATGAGTCAGATGGATTTGAAATAAGGTGAGGTGATGTGAAATGGGGTTTAACGTCGCGTCCAAGATTATTGCACTTACATAGTGATGTGTGTGTTTGTGGGTGTGTGTGTGGCTGCTTGTACTAGTCCGGACTGATGCCGATTTATAGTGCTAGCCCACTGAGATGCCATAGCAATATCTGTTCTTGTATTTAGTCTAGCACTGATGTTTCAGAATGAATCATTCTGGGATTTGAAATAATCAGAAAAAAAACATCGATCAAAACAAAAGATTTAAATGCAGACAAACTGCCTATGTATTTCAAATTGCAAAATTGCATTAGCATACAACAATTTTTAATCCCTTTAAATGATTGTGGCTTAGGGCACAGGGCACAGGGCACGGGGCATATTTCAAGCAGCAGCAACTCTTTACTCTTTCATAAACAAACACTTCAACACGGGTGGACAGACTTGAGCAAAACTTTGTTTGTTTGTTTGTTTGTTTGTTTTTAAGTCATGCTCAGCAATTTTCAAGCTATATGACTCGGTCTGGACCAGACAATCAGTGATTGACATCACGAGCATCGCTCGATGAGATGCATCAACTAAGTCAACGATTCTGACCACCCGATCCAGTTCCTCGCCACTTCTAACCCGGATGTTCACAGGGGGGTGTCAAAAACAAAAAAGATAATCTGGCAATGAAAACGTGACATTTAGAAGCTCTGTTGGAATACACTGTGGCCCTGGGATGGGAGAGTGGCTTAGTTGCCAGGCATGGCAGGAATCGGTACATTTTGAAAGACTCCTTGCCTTATACCCCAATCTAGTTGTGTTTCATGAACCAGTAGTCGGAAATAAACTAGTTTTATGTTACTCATGGTGCCCCTGTATGTGGATTAATTTCTTCACTACCAGGTACCCATCAAACTGGGCAAATGCAGAGAAACTAGGACAGACTACATTTGCTAATCTTCACTGAGTCGAACCTACTTGACCATTTGTATGTGTAAGCAAGGATTATATCCTACCTAAATATTTTCCCGGGGGAAATTTTACTCTAGAGTAAAGTATAGGATGTGATTAGACACACTGGTATGGGTTCAAATTCATTTGGGAGGATCATTCTGACACAGGAGAATTTCATCCCCGGGATAAAAATAGGATAGGATAATATTCACTCTTACATAAGCAAGGGTCTGTAAGCCCTTAATTTGAAACAACCCAAATATATTAAAGGTGAAAATGTATTACATGTATTATAAAATAACAAACATATTTAGCATTTTCAGACTCTAGGGTCTGGGAAAATAAGAATCCAAATAGGTGGCTTTAATAATTTGTCTGCTAGCAAAAAAAGAACATTAATTTAAACCAGATGTAGTTTAAATAATTTTTTCAGTGTTTGAAAATGAATAAACTTGTTCAATTTCCACTTTACCACCTATTATACACTTCAAATGATGATTACATCAATAATAACAGCTTTAATCCAATTTAGCAGCTCTTTTTACAGTTTGTTATTATGCCAGTAATATTTCTGATAATGATACCTATTTGGATATTTTAAATATTTGGATGATATCTACTAAATGCTTTAACTGCAGCTTGTCCTTTGCTGACAGGATCTTAATATTATTAATATGTAATGTTCTAATCACATCTGAAATAATGCTGACTTCACTATTTTACGCTTTCACTCACTCAAAACTAAACACAAGATTTACAAACCAAGGGAAGCAACTTTGCCTTGTTTTGATGTTCTCAAGTTGTAATTTGGCAAATGCATGTTCAGATCTCACTATAGTCAAACAATTTATGTTTTTTATCTACTTGTAGATATATTGTATTTTTCATTAACTGACAGAATCCAGAATTCTGTGTTGGCGAGGAAAACTGAAGAATTTATTGTTGAATTATGTAATGGAGAAATCAGGAGAATCTGTGATTCCTGAAGTAGAATCAATGAGTTGATTCTACTTTTGGAATTAACAGATTTGAGTAATTTCTTTGACTTAAACTATTTCATAATTAATGAATAATTTCTCTACGGTTTTGCATAATGACATACAGTTGTGTCAGGTTTATTTGTTTAAAATGCATGCTCAGAATGGCCAGTGAATTCCTGGCTCAGAATCAACTGCAAGACCAATAGCGCGACATCATCACAATGGTTTATCTTATGATAAACGGTAAGATCTGAACGAGCTCTTCGAGGACATAACCCCCTGAGGGGATTCCAGGTGAAAATAGATTCCCTGTACTTCTTATCTGTGGGTCGTCATACCTGATTGATGCTCATGCTTTCAATCACTGGTTTGCCCGGACAAGACATTCTATCACTCGAAGGTGTATAAAACAATATTACCTAGAATTCATTTAGTCTTTGAGTGTGTGAGTATGGTTTTACGCCACTTTAAGCAATATACGAGCAATATCACAACAGGGGACACCAAAAATGGGCTTCACACGTTGTACCCATGTGGAGAAAAGAACCCGGGTCTTCGGCGTGACGAGCAAACACTTTAACCACTAGGCTACCCAACCACCACATTAAGTCCTTGAATTGAATTTAGAACTGATACACATAACTTCAGCTGAGTACGCATATATACTCCTCATGGAATTCATTACTTTTTGCCAGTGTTTCTGACTTGCCTATGAAACAATTGAATATCTTTATTTGCAACAAAAACATATTTCTTTGTTATTTAAACACAAAAAGAGAAGCATTTGGCCTAACTGAAATTTTCACAATCTTTAATTAAATTCAAACTACTCAACTTTAACATCCCTTAAAACCTTTACAAAGTAACTTCACCTTGATATTTGAGACAAATGTTGTGTATTCCAGTTGTCCGACAAGCAGCTCCAGGGAGCATCCGATGTAGTTAAATATGGACCACAGCAGCAGGGAGTACTCCTCTCCGTGCCACACATAGATGAAGAGGAAGCACATCAGGGACGCCAGGAGCTGCATCAGCATCCCGGCTTGGGACCCACCCAGGGGGATGTAGATGTAGCTGTCACAGATTCAGAGTGTTACAATGTAGCTGTCATAAACACAGTGTTACAATGTAGCTGTCAAAAACACAGTGTTACAATGTAGCGTCATCGGTACAGTGTTACAATGCAGTGTCATAAACACAGTGTTACAATGTAGTGTCATAGATACAGTGTTACAATGCAGTGTCATCGGTACAGTGTCACAATGCAGTGTCATAAACACAGTGTTACAGTGTAGTGTCATCGGTACAGTGTTACAATGTAGTGTCATCGGTACAGTGTTACAATGCAGTGTCATAAACACAGTGTTACAGTGTAGTGTCATCGGTACAGTGTTACAATGTAGTGTCATAAACACAGTGTTACAGTGTAGTTGTCATAGATACAGTGTTACAATGCAGTGTCATAAACACAGTGTTACAGGGTAGTGTCATCGGTACAGTGTTACAATGTAGTGTCATCGGTACAGTGTTACAATGCAGTGTCATAAACACAGTGTAACAGGGTAGTGTCAGCGGTACAGTGTTACAATGTAGTGTCATAAACACAGTGTTACAGTGTAATTGTCATAGATACAGTGTTACAATGCAGTGTCATCAACACAGTGTTACAGTGTAGGTGTCATAGATACAGTGTTACAATGTAGTGTCATAAACACAGTGTCACAATGCAGTGTCATAAACACAGTGTTACAGTGTAGTGTCATAGATACAGTGTTACAATGCAGTGTCATAAACACAGTGTTACAATGTAGTGTCATAAACAAAGTGTTACAGTGTAGTGTCATCGGTACAGTGTTACAATGTAGTGTCATAAACACAGTGTTACAATGTAGTGTAATAAACACAGTGTTACAGTGTAGGTGTCATAGATACAGTGTTACAATGTGGGTATCATAGATACACAGTGTTACAATGGAGCTTATATGAATACAGTGTTACAACCGTGGTGATCAGGGCAGAATAGTCTTCAGCAACCCATGCTTGCCATAAAAGGCGACTATGCTTGTCGTAAGAGGCGACTAACAGGATCGGGTGGTCTGGCTCGCTGACTTGGTTGATACATGTCATCATGTCCCAGTTGCGTGGATCGATGCTCCTAATGTCAATCACTGGATTGTCTGTCCAGACTTGATTATTTACAGACCACCGTCATATTGCTTGAATATTGCTAAGTGTGGTGTTATACAATAGACAAACAAACAGATACAGTGTTAAAATGAAGTGTCATAGACAGTGTTACAATGTAGTTGTCATAGACACAGTGTTACAATGTAGGTGTCATAGACAGTGTTACAATGAAGTGTCATAGACAGTGTTGCAATGTAGGTGTCATAGACACAGTGTTACAATGTAGGTGTCATAGATACAGTGTTACAATGTAGGTGTCATAGACAGTGTTACATTGTAGGTGTCATAGACAGTGTTACAATGAAGTGTCATAGACAGTGTTGCAATGTAGGTGTCATAGACAGTGTTACAATGAAGTGTCATAGACAGTGTTGCAATGTAGGTGTCATAGACACAGTGTTACAATGAAGGTGTCATAGACTGTGTTACAATGTAGGTGTCATAGACAGTGTTGCAATGTAGGTGTCATAGACAGTGTTACAATGTAGGGGTCATAGACAGTGTTGCAATGAAGGTGTCATTGACAGTGTTACAATGTAGGTGTCATAGACAGTGTTACAATGTAGGTGTCATAGACAGAGTGTTACAATGTAGGTGTCATAGATACAGTGTTACTATGTAGGTGTCATAGACAGTGTAACAATGTAGGTGTCATAGACAGAGTGTTACAATGTAGGTGTCATAGATACAGTGTTACTATGTAGGTGTCATAGATACAGTGTTACAATGAAGTGTCACAGACAGAGTGTTACAATGTAGGTGTCATAGACAAAGTGTTACAATGTAGGTGTCATAGATACAGTGTTACTATGTAGGTGTCATAGACAGTGTAACAATGTAGGTGTCATAGACAGAGTGTTACAATGTAGGTGTCATAGATACAGTGTTACTATGTAGCTGTCATAGATACAGTGTTACAATGAAGTGTCACAGACAGAGTGTTACAATATAGGTGTCATAGACACAGTGTTACTATGTAGGTGTCATAGGTACAGTGTTACAATGAAGTGTCATAGACACACAGTGTTATAATGTAGGTTTCATAGACAGGGTTACAATGTAGGGGTCATAGATACACATTGTTACAATGTAGGTGTCATTGACAGAGTGTTACAATGTAGTTGTCGTGGACACAGTGTTACAATGTAGGTGTCATAGACAGAGTGTTACAATGTAGGTGTCATAGACAGTGTTGCAATGTAGGTGTCATATCGTCATATTTGTAGGAGTTCACTTATAAAAGTGAACTTATCCACAATTAGTGGATAGAAACTGTTAATAATAGAAAATAGTGTAATTGATTAGATACATTAAAAGTTTGAACTTGTTTCAATAGTATATTGTTTTGTTATCTTCACTCCACACAGTGTTACATGGAGGTGTACTTACTTTCTGAGGAATGTGTACAGACCTCTGTCAAAAAATCTGAAACAAAAATAAATGGGTTATCACCAGTGAGAGGTCTCACCCATCTAAAGACGTTGGATACCATTGTTCATGCGCAAACCAGACGCGCATGTAATGGCGAGTATTTGTAATGCGGTTACGTCCCTTTGACTTGCAGCTAATTGAACTTCCGCCAAAATGAACTCATAGAAATGTAAATTTGGGCAAGAGTTACCTCCCCTGATTCATTATTTTAGGGGTATGCTGTGTTGATTGAAACTAATTTGAATATCCTCTGGTGACATGTTGTTTTTATTTCATAATTCAATTTTACAATGAATAAACATTAGAAATAAGCCAGTTTGAAAAATATCTTGATTTTGTAAAATGCTTTTTTGACTGATGAATCAATTTATTTGGAAAATGTGCTTTTTTTAAAGTCAAATGATGTGTGAAATAAAAAAAGGTTTTGACTTGAATTTTCATTTTTCTGTTTTGTGTCATATCAATACTGTAATATGTCTATTTAAAAACACTCATTTAATAATCAAACTTTAAAATGACCATTTTATTGGCAAAATGATTTTATCATCCGGTGCCTCTAGACAGCGCCACTTATTTAAACAATGTCCTGGTGACTTGGTTTTTTTATTGTGTAATTTGATTCAGGACAAATTTTCCTACAAAATGATACCAAATATACCCATTTCTTGAATTTTTTGTTTTGTGTATGCAACCTCTTTAACCAACACTCCAGCAGCATGATGGTGGGTGACACTAGGGACAGCATCACTTGTAGTCAGGTGGGAACAAAACCAGTCCCGCCTTGACTCTAAAACAGACACATAGTTCAACACTGTCCTGCACGATGTGGATGCTGCAACAGTGCATTATTCATGCACTCATCAAATAGGATAAATAGTAGGAGTGTACTGATATACTGTAAATCATGAATTAATGCGAGCGTGAATTAAATGCCAAAAATGCAAGTGGTCACACCTGCAAGTCCAGACAGATGTCACCCTTTGTTCTTTGCGACTGCGTCAAAGGCCGACACGAGCCAGCGCGCATGTATTGTTTTTGCGGAAGGACTTTACTCAGCGCTAATAAGCAGTGCTATTTGGTGTGTGATTGGATTAATGTAAGGTTGGATTAAGGTGAGGATTCTAAATCTGACTGAGGACATCTTTAGATAGAAATCTACTGATGCTTGAGTGAGTGAGTGAGTTAAGTTTAACGCCGCTTTTAACATTATTCCAGTTATATCGCAGCGTGTCAGCTTAATGTGGGAGGAAAGCCCAAAGTGATGAAAGTCTCAGACGTTTACCACTTCGGTGAAACCCACGAGCACGGGTATGGTGCTGACAAACCTAGAAACATAATTGGGGCGAACCGGGATTCGAACCCACAATCATAGGTTTCTGGCATGCTCAAGGGACGCAACTCTGCACAGCGAATCGCGGCTCCTAAGACGACTGGGCCACCCGTGCCCCCACTGATGCTTGAGAGGAGGGGGTGTCGCATACTTATTGAGTCTCATTTTTGGCTAGGGTCCAGTCGTCGCATTCTTTTGGAGACACATTAATTTCACAATTAACAGTATTGAACTATTGATGTATTTCACTTGTGTGCCCTACGGTAGCTCTAATTCAATAGGAATTCTAAAATGCCAACAGTATTGTCGATAGTATGCATAAGAATCAATACATGTACCGTATATCGCTGTGTATAAGGCGACCCCACGTATAAGACGACCCCCCTGTACACGCCTTAAAAATCAACCCAAAATCCTATACTCCGTGTATAAGGCGACCAGGAATGAAACACATCACAAGTCTGACTGATATAGAAGATTTAATGTGCGCTTTCCGACTGTAGCTTATTTCGCACACGGACATCACAAGTTAGTTAGTTAGTTACTTTGGAGATTTAATGTGCGCTTTCCGACTGATGCGTATTTCGCACACATCACAAGTGCGCACACAAACCTGATATATGCAATAAAAATATGTTTATCTTGCGTTGTTTTTTTTCTACAATGATAGGTCGCGTGTGTAACTCCAGCACACGTCGCCATTTTGTGTTTACACGGTACGACACCAAATTGGTGCCCGTAAAATAAAATTAATTTATGAAGTCATAACATATAAGAGACAATGGTGAGTAATTTAATCGCCAATTAACTATGTTGTAACTAAGTAGGCTTATGTTTGCTTCACATTCAGCGTGTTTATTCCACAATCACTAGTACCTGGTACACACTGTCTCCAACACTTGTTAATACAACTGTAAAAACAGCGGGAATTGATTTCAGCTTCACCGGTTATCACATGTTAGGTCACATGTGCAATATGCAAATGCTTACCGGTACTTCCGGCTCTCTGCTCACGGATGTTGATTGTTTTACCGTGTCAGGTGGTTTGTCAATCTGCATCGAGGCGAGGGTCATTTCAACTTTATTTGCAGAAATTATTAAACTTTATTCAAGGAAAAGAGATACAAATCATGTTTATGTATGGAAATAGTTATTGGAACAGTTATTTAGGACGAAATGCGAAGTTTTATTGTCAAATGCTGGGCTGGCTATCGGACGCCGGTTGACATCGCCAGTGGAAAAAAATGTGAGATCTTCGACTCCGTGTATAAGACGACCCCCCTTCTTAGCCTCCTCATTTTAGGTACGAAAAACTCGCCTTATACACAGCGATATACGGTAGTTGCAATAATCGATTGTTTTGCATAGTATTAATGATACTATTGGTATTTTTAAATTTCTATCAAAATAGAACTATCATAGGGCAAACAATTGCAATAATTTGATAGTTTGATAGTTCAATATACCTTTAGACTTCAAATAGTCATCACTAATGAATAAAGCAGAACCGTCACTTACTTCCACATATCAGAATATCGGTAGATATACGAGATGCACTTTGGTCCTAGTGGTGGGTCAAGGTTGTCTAGTCTGGCCACTTGACCTGGGAGGTCATAGAGCACCAGATATTTCACCATGAAGTACTGCCCCATTGTGTAGCCAATGCCGGTGAGGGCCCACAGCGACATCTCCTTCACGGCGGTGATGTTGTGCAGCAGGCCGTTGTAGTAGAGATAGTGATGGGCTAACTCCAGATAGAAGGCCCAGAAAAACACTCGCACAAATCCCTTCATGGAAGTCGTAACGCGGTCTCTTGTCCACACAGCTGGTGGAGAATTGATCTGAAACAAGCATCCATCACTTGAAATATTTTTTGTCTGCTTTCTCTAATTCATTCGGGGCGGTCGGGTAGCCTAGTGCTTAAAGCGTTCGCTCGTCATGCCGAAGACCCGGGGTCGATCCTACATGGGTACAATGTGTGAAGCCCATTTCTGGTGTCCCCCGCCGTGATATTGCTTGAATATTGTTTAAAGCGGCGTAAAACCATACTCACTCACTCTAATTCATTCAGAAACATTTCATTCTTAGGCAACAATTGTTCTTAACAGTTGTCTACCTGTCCTCTGACCTGGAAAAAATATATCTCAAAAGTATTCTTGTTTATCCCGCAAAAGATACAGACATGTGTTAACCACGAAAAAGCACATGATACTATAACTGATAGGGTGCCATCAAAATGTACTCTGGTACAATACGGTTTTTATTCTGTACCCAGACAATATCTATTTGTACCTCGATGCTGGAAATCTTGCGAAAGTGTATGTTGTAAATGTATCCTCGATCGGTTTACAGCATTCAACAACACATCTGTTCCCCATGGAAATTCCAAAGAACTTTCTGTGTATTAAGATAGTAAACGTTTTCCCGAGCCAATTGACCTTGTGCAAAGAGTTATCTCCCCCAAAAGCGTAAAGCAGGTTGATGTTGAAAACATCTTGTGATGCTGAACAAGAACAAAATTGGTGTACACATACACTGGGTTAGGTCTGGGTTAGGTCTGGGTTAGGTGAGGTCTGGGTGAGGTGTGGGTTAGGTGAGGTCTGGGTTAGGTGTGGGTAACGTGAGGTCTGGGTTTGGTGTGGGTAAGGTGAGGTCTGGGTTAGGTGTGGGTTAGGTGAGGTCTGGGTTAGGTGTGGGTAAGGTGAGGTCTGGGTTAGGTGTGGGTAAGGTGAGGTCTGGGTTAGGTGTTGGTTAGGTGAGGTCTGGGTTAGGTGTGGGTAAGGTGAGGTCTGGGTTAGGTGTGGGTTAGGTGAGGTCTGGGTTAGGTGTGGGTAAGGTGAGGTCTGGGTTAGGTCTGGGTTAGGTCTGGGTTAGGTGAGGTCTGGGTTAGGTGTGGGTAAGGTGAGGTCTGGGTTAGGTGTGGGTTAGGTGAGGTCTGGGTTAGGTGTGGGTAAGGTGAGGTCTGGGTTAGGTGTGGGTTAGGTGAGGTCTGGGTTAGGTGTGGGTGAGGTGAGGTCTGGGTTAGGTCTGGGTTAGGTGTGGTCTGGGTTAGGTGTGGGTTAGGTGAGGTCTGGGTTAGGTGTGGGTTAGGTGAGGTCTGGGTAAGGTGAGGTCTTGGTTAGGTCTGGGTTAAGTGTGGTCTGGGTTAGGTGTGGGTTAGGTCTGGGACGAGTAAATCGGTAATTGGGTCAGGTGGGTCCTGAGAAGGACCTGGGTACCCACAGGACTACCCGGACCTGTGGTATGTGACAGTTTGTTTAATGACAACAATAATCAAACTCCATGATTACACTACAAGTCGCTTAATGTTTTCATATATTTCAAACTATGCATGCATTCCTTCTGACATATGTTTGAGTAAAGATAAAGCTTCAGTCAACTTCAGGGTAAGAAAGATCTGATCATTTTATGCATGTATCTAAGTAGTTTTTGCCAGAGCTCCTGTAAAACAATTCCCAATTGGACATATTATAGCCAATTCTTGAGACCTACAGCTGGTACCCGGGCAGGGTCTGGTAATAGGGGATCGGGAACCCGGGTAGTAAATGTGGTCTCGTCCCAGTCCTTGTCTGGGTGCAAGACAATGAATGGTAAAAATGTCAAAAGCTTCACCTGCAGTTTAAACTTGTCATAAGTGATGAGTGGTCCTGTGAAGAAGAGTGGGAAATAGAACATGTACAGCAGTAGATCCCACATGGAGAAATGGCCGCAGTCAGTTGTCTTCTCCTTGGAAGTAGAGTTATTCCCCTTTGCAGCAATGTACCTGCTTCTCTCCAGACTGAAGCTTGCATAGCGCAGAATGACCAGAGCTAACACAAATATGAACAGATAGTATCCTTCCGGGGTGTTCGGGATACCACAAAGTTGTTGCTGGAATGCAAAGAATTCAGCTCAAAACTCACCTGGGACATTCAAATTCAGCTGGTGTCAAATCACTGTCAACAATAAAATAATGCATCACTAAATTAATGTGGGTACCAACCACTAGCCTCAAATATGTCATGAAATTAATGCAAGTTTCCCACCCTTTGCTCATCTGAACAATTTTATGACAAGTCTTGGCTATCACCATCAATTTTTCCTTTTGTCTGTATTAGGGCTGGGACAGGTAACTCGGGTACCTGGGTCGCTTGGGTACTGAGTAGGACCCGGGTACCCACAGGACTACCCGGACCCGTGGTTAGTCACATGATATATTGTTTAATGACAAAAAATATCTAGATCTCTATGGTTACACTACAAGTCACTAGTGTTCACATTTCTTTCTGACTGCGCACCCATTCCTTCTGATTTTTCATGTGGTTGAAAAAGATATAACTTAATTCAGCTTCAGTGTATGAATCACCATATTGTTTAATACATGTATCTAAATACGTTTTGCCAGGGCTATGCTAAAAATGTTCCCAATCGGACATTTTGAGACATCTACGGGGTGAGTGAGTGAGTGAGTGAGTGAGTGAGTGAGTATGGTTTTACACAGCTTTTAGCAATATTCCAGCAATATAACGGCGGGGGACACCAGAAATGGGCTTCACACATTGTACCCATGTCGGGAATCGAACCCGGGTCTTCGGCGTGACGAGCGAACGCTTTAAGCACTAGGCTACCTGACCGCCCCACATCTGAGACCTGCAGTGGGTACCCGGGTAGGGTCGGGTAATAGGGGGATGGGTACCCGGGTAGTAAATTTGGACTCGTCCCAGCCCTAGTCTGTATCATGGTATGAATATCAAGCTTCACTCCTAAATAGGCCTGAGACCTTGTTGGAATATGTGTATGTATTATTTCAAACGATTTTTACTTATGCTGTGGAGATGAGACACATAGACCGACAAACCAATGTAAATGTCAATATTCCAGCAATCATGGTGACAGGTGTTATTCCTTGTCCTACGGACTGACTGACTGACAACCCTTAATTTAGGTGCATAAGGCTAAAAAAAATAATAGTCTTGGTTCTCAGGCACCGCCCACATCATCATAAAGTCTGCCACTCGTTTCGCTTTTATTTCCATTTAAAAAAAAATTCCTAATACTTAAAAACAATGTGATCCAATATAGCAATCAGTTACTTCCCTTTACATGCGCACTGATTAACTGTGTATCTCATGTTAGGGTCATAGCGTCAATGGGAGCTTGTTTATATAGGGAGGCCCTTTCCCAATTTTAATTCTGGCTACTGCTATACAAAGATCTCAGGACATACCATTACAGGTCACATTAGAATAACCCTTCACGAACTTTGACTGGACACTGAAATGACTAACAAGAAGTCAGTCAGAAAAGAGCTTTCTCAGGCTATACAGCACCAAATTCAAACTGGCAACTTCCTTTCTAGAGGGCGGTCAGGTAGCCTAGTGGTTAAAGTGTTTGCTTGTCACGCCAAAGACCCTGGTTCAATTCCCGACATGGGTACAATGTGTGAAGCCCATTTCTGGTGTCCCCCGCCATGATATTGCTCGAATTTTGCTAAAAGTGGTGTAAAACAATACTTATCACTCACTCCTTTCCAGACTACACTTAAAAAAATATTCTTACAAAAGATCTCCATTTAAAATTTGAAAACTAAACAAAAGAACATGCTGGACTTTCTAACAGGTGGCTTAGATTGTATGGCAGTATTTCTCACAGGCTGTTCACAGCCTCTTCTGTTCAAATGTTCATCCCATTGAAGCGAGAGATAGACAATGATTTTGATGGAATCATTCATACAGCCCGTAACAGTCTTTCAGAATACCCAATGTTAACGTTTTTTGAGATTATATGATCTAAAAAAACATTCTGTCGTTTGATCTGGTAAGAGACGCTCTGATTGGTCAGAAGAAAGGTTGTTCTGATGTGACCCCTTTATAAGATGTCCGGAGATCTTTGTTTTGCAGTAGCGAGACCTTAGCTCTAATTTTAACGAAACTGGGGATATTATTGTTATCAAATTTAAAGAAGTTACATCAATTTGATTTTTGTGTTAATGAAGGAAAAGTAAAACAAGTGTGCACACTTTGCGTAAATCCGCTGCGACTATGATTTACACAGACTACACATCAGTTTTTACGTTTAAAACTCCATGAAAACAAAAATTATTGACGTCAAAACTTAAGTTAACCATACCATGATTAACCTCTTTGATAGGCATTTAGAAGTTGGAGTACTAAGTAAGTGATAACTTCCATGATAACGGTGTTAGAACCTACACCGAAACGTCGCTCTTAATTGTAATTAAGAAGTTGCTCATCCATAAATTCTTATCCCTTCTTACCATGATTGGTGCAAATGCTTGATAGTTGAGAGTAGACAGCAGCAAGATAGTGACGACCCACACCAGGGGGAAGCTGCCGACCGAGGAGGCCACGTAGCAGATACAGCCATGTGAGATGAAGAACAGCACCGTCCGGTATCCCAGGAGATACGACACGCTCACGAGGGAGTATGTCAGAAACACTGGCTTTCGAAGCTGGAAATAAAACAACGTAACAATGTCATATAGACTGGGAGATACAACACTGTCATGGGGGAGTACTTCAGAAACACTGGCTTTCGAAGCTGGAAATAAAAACAACGTAATAATGTCATGTAGACCAGGAGATACAACACGCTCACGAGGGAGTACGTCAGAAACACTGGCTTACGAAGCTGGAAATAAGAACAAAGTAACAATGTCATGTAGACCAGGAGATACAACACGCTCACGAGGGAGTACGTCAGAAACACTGGCTTACGAAGCTGGAAATAAAAACAAAGTAATAATGTCATATAGACCAGGAGATACAACACGCTCACGAGGGAGTATGCGAGAAACACAGGCTTACGAAGCTGGAAATAAAAACAAAGTAACAATGACATGTAGACCTGGAGATACGATACCATCACGAGGAGAATGTCAGAAAGTTTGAAATAACAAAAGAAACTAAGCGTGTTACACTGGTTTCACAATATATATTGTATATCAAAGAAAAGAAAGAATTCAGACAGGAAGGTGCTTGTAAATCCATACTTTTTAACTGTGACATTCTTAAAATGTATCCATTTTGCATGTTATCTGATCAGACAGTGCCAACTTACATGAAGAAATCGTTTCTCTACAATCCGAGCAATGATGATATGGCCGACACCCCAAGGTAGGAGGTTCCAGAAATAACCTGACCAAAAATTCCATTCGTAATTTGAAATGTCCTGAAAAATATATTACATATCATAAAACACCAAATACATTGTCAGTTTCATTACAACCTAGTGCTACATTCTTTGGGATAATTTTGATTAAATGAGTTTTGTTTTAAGTTTGTTTGACTGTTGTTTAACAATGCACTCAGAAATCTCAATAAACTTAGATCTGAGATCTCGCTACTGAATGACAAAAATCTGAGGACATTCCATTACGGGTCATGTCACAAGCTTTCATCTGACCAATCAGAGCATCACCGAGTGTAGATGAGGAAAGTGACAGTTGGAACGTGTTTTCTAATCATGCAACCTCTAAGGTTAACACGAGGTATTCTGTACGACAGTTACATCCTGTATGACTGATCAAAATAATCATCTCTCTCTCGCTTCAGTGGGATAAACATTTAAAATGGATGAGACATTGCACACTGTTGCACAGCCTATTCTTTTGTTCAGTATTCAAATTTTGAATCGAGAACTTTGTCAAAATATATTTCAAGCGAGGTCTGAAATAGAAGTCGCCAGTTCAAGAGAGCTGCTTTCTGATTAGCTAATGTTGACTACCTGTGAGTCATTTCATTGGTCGGTCAAAGGTCAGGCAAGGGACAAATTCTAACGTGGAATCCCAATGGGGTACAACCAGCATAGGTTGCTAGGGACCAATTCTAGCCTGGAATCCCAATGGGGTACAACAAGCACAGCTTGCACGGACCAATTCTAACCAGGAATCCCCAGGGGGTACATCCAGCATAGGTTGCTGGGACCAATTCTAACTTGGAATCCCCAATGGGGTACAACCAGCACAGCGTGCTAGGGACCAATTCTAACCAGGAATCCTAATGGGGTACAACCAGCACAGCTTGCTATGGACCAATTCTAGCCTGGAATTCCCATTGGGTACAACCAGCATCGGTTTCTGGGGGCCAATTCTATCCCAAATTATCCACCAGGCTTTTGTTTTATGACCTAACACATGTTACAATGTTTTAAACCTAAGTCTATTACTGTACAGAAATGACAAGGTATGGTACCTTCTTCTGGCCCAGAAATGACCAGCCATCAATGAAGTCATCTTCGGTCAATGACCACAGATAGCCTGCAACAGACACAGGTAAGTATACATTTATGTACCACACTTCACCACTAACCCCTGTGTTTTGTGTAATTGGTCATGCTTTCTTGGGCTTGTCTTCATCTGTGTGTACTTCAAGATAATGTGCACATGTTCCTTTTACGTCTTACAGTAAGATATCATTAATTTATGTAAAATTGTGATACAGTCATCAGAGTGTGAGATTATATTTATTTAGACTAGTTTACGCATCCATGTTTCGACTTTGATAAATTTATATGACCACATTTATGTGGGACTAACTACAAGAATGGTGTACTGGGGACCGATACTGACCTGGATCTTCATGGGGGAGACACTAACTACAAGCATGGTGTACTGGGGACCAATACTGACCTGGATCTTCATGGGGGAGGCACTAACTACAAGCATGGTGTACTGGGGACCAATACTGACCTGGATCTTCATGGGGGAGGCACTAACTACCAGCATGGTGTACTGGGGACCAATACTGACATGGATCTTCATGGCAGGGCACTAACTACAAGCATGGTGTACTGGGGACCAATACTGACCTGGATCTTCACGGGGGAGGTACTAACTACAAGCATGGTGTACTGGGGACCAATACTGACCTGGATCTTCATGGGGGAGGCACTAACTACAAGCATGGTGTACTGGGGACCAATACTGACCTGGATCTTCATGGGGGAGGCACTAACTACAAGCATGATGTACTGGGGACCAATACTGACCTGGATCTTCATGGGGGAGGCACTAACTACAAGCATGATGTACTGGGGACCAATACTGACCTGGGTCTTCATGGGGGAGGCTCTAACTACAAGCATGGTGCACTGGGGACCAATACTGACCCAGATCTTCACGGGGGTGGCACTAACTACAAGCCTGGTGTACTGGGGACCAATACTGACCTGGATCTTCACGGGGGTGGCACTAACTACATGCATGGTGTTCTGGGGACCAATACTGACCCAGATCTTCATGGGGGAGGCACCAACTACAAGCATGATGTACTGGGGACCAATACTGACCCAGATCTTCATGGGGGAGGCACTAACTACAAGCATGGTGTACTGGGGACCAATACTGACCTGGATCTTCATGGGGGAGGCACTAACTACAAGCATGGTGTACTGGGGACCAATACTGACCTGGATCTTCATGGGGGAGGCACTAACTACAAGCATGGCGTACTGGGGACCAATACTGACCCAGATCTTCATGGGGGAGGCACCAACTACAAGCATGGTGTACTGGGGACCAATACTGACCCAGATCTTCATGGGGGAGGCACCAACTACAAGCATGATGTACTGGGGACCAATACTGACCTGGATCTTCATGGGGGAGGCACTAACTACAAGCATGGTGTACTGGGGACCAATACTGACCTGGATCTTCATGGGGGAGGCACTAACTACAAGCATGGTGCACTGGGGACCAATACTGACCTGGATCTTCATGGGGGAGGCACTAACTACAAGCATGGTGTACTGGGGACCAATACTGACCCAGATCTTCATGGGGGAGGCACCAACTACAAGCATGATGTACTGGGGACCAATACTGACCTGGATCTTCATGGGGGAGGCACTAACTACAAGCATGGTGTACTGGGGACCAATACTGACCTGGATCTTCATGGGGGAGGCACTAACTACAAGCATGGTGTACTGGGGACCAATACTGACCTGGATCTTCATGGGGGAGGCACTAACTACAAGCATGGTGTACTGGGGACCAATACTGACCTGGATCTTCATGGGGGAGGCACTAACTACAAGCATGGTGTACTTGGGACCAATACTGACCTGTCTCAACAAGGGGGAGGCACTAACTACAAGCATGGTGTACTGGGGACCAATACTGACCTGGATCTTCACGGGGGAGGCACTAACTACAAGCATGGTGTACTGAGGACCAATACTGACACGGATCTTCACGGGAGTGGCACAAACTACAAGCATGGTGTACTGGGAACCAATACTGACCTCGATCTTCACGGAGTGGCACTAACTACAAGCATGGTGTACTGGGGACCAATACTGACTTGGGTCTTCACGGGGGAGGCACTAACTACAAGCATGGTGTACTGGGGACCAATACTGACCCAGATCTTCATGGGGGAGGCACTAACTACAAGCCTGGTGTACTCGGGATCAATACTGACCTCGATCTTCACGGGGGAGGCACTAACTACAAGCATGGTGTACTGGGGACCAATACTGACCCAGATCTTCATGGGGGAGGCACTAACTACAAGCATGGTGTACTGGGGACCAATACTGACCTGGATCTTCATGGGGGAGGCACTAACTACAAGCATGGTGTACTGGGCACCAATACTGACCCAGATCTTCATGGGGGAGACACTAACTACAAGCATGGTGTACTGGGGACCAATACTGACCTGGATCTTCACGGGGGAGGCACTAACTACAAGCATGGTGTACTGGGGACCAATACTGACCTGGATCTTCACGGGGGAGGCACTTACTATAAGCATGGTGTACTGGGGACCAATACTGACTTGGCTCTTCACGGGGGAGGCACTAACTACAAGCATGGTGCACTGGGGACCAATACTGACACGGATCTTCACGGGGGTGGCACTAACTACAAGCCTGGTGTACTTGGGACCAATACTGACCTGGATCTTCACAGGGGAGGCACTAACTACATGCATGGTGTACTGGGGACCAATACTGACCCAGATCTTCATGGGGGAGGCACTAACTACAAGCATGGTGCACTGGAGACCAATACTGACCTCGATCTTCACGGGGGAGGCACCAACTACAAGCCTCGTGTACTGGGGACCAATACTGACCCAGATCTTCATGGGGGAGGCACCAACTACAAGCATGGTGTACTGGGGACCAATACTGACCCAGATCTTCACAGGAGTGGCACTAACTACAAGCATGGTGTACTGGGGTCCAATACTGACTTGGGTCTTCACGGGGGAGGCACTAACTACATGCATGGTGTACTGGGGACCAATACTGACCCAGATCTTCATGGGGGAGGCACTAACTACAAGCATGGTTTACTGGAGACCAATACTGACCTGGATCTTCACGGGGGAGGCACTAACTACAAGCATGGTGTACTGGGGACCAATACTGACCTGTCTCAACAAGGGGGAGGCACTAACTACAAGCATGGTGTACTGGGGTCCAATACTGACTTGGGTCTTCACGGGGGAGGCACTAACTACAAGCATGGTGTACTGGGGACCAATACTGACCTGGATCTTCATGGGGGAGGCACTAACTACAAGCATGGTGTACTGGGGACCAATACTGACCCAGATCTTCATGGGGGAGGCACCAACTACAAGCATGGTGTACTGGGGACCAATACTGACCCAGATCTTCATGGGGGAGGCACCAACTACAAGCATGATGTACTGGGGACCAATACTGACCTGGATCTTCATGGGGGAGGCACTAACTACAAGCATGGTGTACTGGGGACCAATACTGACCTGGATCTTCATGGGGGAGGCACTAACTACAAGCATGGTGCACTGGGGACCAATACTGACCTGGATCTTCATGGGGGAGGCACTAACTACCAGCATGGTGTACTGGGGACCAATACTGACCCAGATCTTCATGGGGGAGGCACCAACTACAAGCATGATGTACTGGGGACCAATACTGACCTGGATCTTCATGGGGGAGGCACTAACTACAAGCATGGTGTACTGGGGACCAATACTGACCTGGATCTTCATGGGGGAGGCACTAACTACAAGCATGGTGTACTGGGGACCAATACTGACCTGGATCTTCATGGGGGAGGCACTAACTACAAGCATGGTGTACTGGGGACCAATACTGACCTGGATCTTCATGGGGGAGGCACTAACTACAAGCATGGTGTACTTGGGACCAATACTGACCTGGATCTTCATGGGGGAGGCACTAACTACAAGCATGGTGTACTGGGGACCAATACTGACCTGGATCTTCATGGGGGAGGCACTAACTACAAGCATGGTGTACTGGGGACCAATACTGACCTGGATCTTCACGGGGGAGGCACTAACTACAAGCATGGTGTACTGAGGACCAATACTGACACGGATCTTCACGGGAGTGGCACAAACTACAAGCATGGTGTACTGGGGACCAATACTGACCTCGATCTTCACGGAGTGGCACTAACTACAAGCATGGTGTACTGGGGACCAATACTGACTTGGGTCTTCACGGGGGAGGCACTAACTACAAGCATGGTGTACTGGGGACCAATACTGACCCAGATCTTCATGGGGGAGGCACTAACTACAAGCCTGGTGTACTCGGGATCAATCCTGACCTCGATCTTCACGGGGGAGGCACTAACTACAAGCATGGTGTACTGGGGACCAATACTGACCCAGATCTTCATGGGGGAGGCACTAACTACAAGCATGGTGTACTGGGGACCAATACTGACCTGGATCTTCATGGGGGAGGCACTAACTACAAGCATGGTGTACTGGGCACCAATACTGACCCAGATCTTCATGGGGGAGACACTAACTACAAGCATGGTGTACTGGGGACCAATACTGACCTGGATCTTCACGGGGGAGGCACTAACTACAAGCATGGTGTACTGGGGACCAATACTGACCTGGATCTTCACGGGGGAGGCACTTACTACAAGCATGGTGTACTGGGGACCAATACTGACCTGGATCTTCACGGGGGAGGCACTAACTACAAGCATGGTGGACTGGGGACCAATACTGACCTGGATCTTCACGGGGGAGGCACTTACTACAAGCATGGTGTACTGGGGACCAATACTGACTTGGCTCTTCACGGGGGAGGCACTAACTACAAGCATGGTGCACTGGGGACCAATACTGACACGGATCTTCACGGGGGTGGCACTAACTACAAGCCTGGTGTACTGGGGACCAATACTGACCTGGATCTTCACAGGGGAGGCACTAACTACATGCATGGTGTACTGGGGACCAATACTGACCCAGATCTTCATGGGGGAGGCACTAACTACAAGCATGGTTTACTGGAGACCAATACTGACCTCGATCTTCACGGGGGAGGCACCAACTACAAGCCTGGTGTACTGGGGACCAATACTGACCCAGATCTTCATGGGGGAGGCACCAACTACAAGCATGGTGTACTGGGGACCAATACTGACCCAGATCTTCACAGGAGTGGCACTAACTACAAGCATGGTGTACTGGGGTCCAATACTGACTTGGGTCTTCACGGGGGAGGCACTAACTACATGCATGGTGTACTGGGGACCAATACTGACCTGGATCTTCATGGGGGAGGCACTAACTACAAGCATGGTTTAATGGAGACCAATACTGACCTCGATCTTCACGGGGGAGGCACTAACTACAAGCATGGTGTACTGGGGACCAATACTGACCTGTCTCAACAAGGGGGAGGCACTAACTACAAGCATGGTGTACTGGGGTCCAATACTGACTTGGGTCTTCACGGGGGAGGCACTAACTACAAGCATGGTGTACTGGGGACCAATACTGACCTGGATCTTCATGGGGGAGGCACTAACTACAAGCATGGTGTACTGGAGACCAATACTGACCTGGATCTTCACGGGGGAGGCACTCACTACAAGCATGGTGTACTGAGGACCGATACTGACCTGGATCTTCATGGGGGAGGCACTAACTACAAGCATGGTGTACTGGGGACCAATACTGACCTGGATCTTCACGGGGGAGGCACTAACTACAAGCATGGTGTACTGAGGACCAATACTGACCTGGATCTTCATGGGGGAGACACTAACTACAAGCATGGTGTACTGGGGACCAATACTGACCTGGATCTTCACGGGGGAGGCACTAACTACAAGCATGGTGTACTGAGGACCAATACTGACCTGGATCTTCATGGGGGAGGCACTAACTACAAGCATGGTGTACTGGGGACCAATACTGACCAAGATCTTCATGGGGGAGACACTAACTACAAGCATGGTGTACTGGGGACCAATACTGACCTGGATCTTCACAGGGGAGGCACTAACTACAAGCATGGTGTACTTGGGACCAATACTGACCTGGATCTTCATGGGGGAGGCACTAACTACCAGCATGGTGTACTGGGGACCAATACTGACCCAGATCTTCACGGGGGTGGCACTAACTACAAGCATGGTGTACTGGGGACCAATACTGACCCAGATCTTCACGGGGGAGGCACTAACTACAAGCATGGTGCACTGGGGACCAATACTGACCCAGATCTTCATGGGGGAGGCACTAACTACAAGCATGGTGCACTGGGGACCAATACTGACCCAGATCTTCATGGGGGAGGCACTAACTACAAGCATGGTGTACTGGGGACCAATAGTGACCCAGATCTTCATGGGGGAGGCACTAACTACAAGCATGGTGCACTGGGGACCAATACTGACCCAGATCTTCACGGGGGAGGCACTAACTACAAGCATGGTGCACTGGGGACCAATACTGACCCAGATCTTCACGGGGGTGGCACTAACTACAAGCCTGGTGTACTGGGGACCAATACTGACCTGGATCTTCACGGGGGTGGCACTAACTACATGCATGGTGTACTGGGGACCAATACTGACCCAGATCTTCATGGGGGTGGCACTAACTACAAGCCTGGTGTACTGGGGACCAATACTGACCTGGATCTTCACGGGGGTGGCACTAACTACAAGCCTGGTGTACTGGGGACCAATACTGACCTGGATCTTCACAGGGGAGGCACTAACTACAAGCATGGTGTACTGGGGACCAATACTGACCCAGATCTTCATGGGGGAGGCACTAACTACAAGCATGGTGTACTGGGGACCAATACTGACACGGATCTTCACGGGAGTGGCACAAACTACAAGCATGGTGTACTGGGGACCAATACTGACCTCGATCTTCACGGAGTGGCACTAACTACAAGCATGGTGTACTGGGGACCAATACTGACCTGGATCTTCACAGGGGAGGCACTAACTACAAGCATGGTGTACTGGGGACCAATACTGACCTGGATCTTCATGGGGGAGGCACAACATGAGTCGAAAAAGGTTTAAAATTCCATGACATGGATGATAAATAGAATCTTAACCTTTGATATAAAAAATATCAACACGAGTCGAAAATTTAAAGTTACATAAAATTATGATAAACAGAATCTTACCCTTTGATGTCAAATATATCGGCAAGTATAAACTTTCATCGACACGTCTTGATATCAAAAGACACGCAAGTGAGAATCTCTGTATAGCCTCTCTTCATGTGACCTACTTACTTTGAGATGCTTCAAACAACTTGTATGTGACATACAATATGCTGCCTATTCCTGTGATCCAGTAGAAGATGGATTCTGGTAGAGGAAGTCGTCCATGTAGTCTTTGGATGCCACCGCCGCCGGAGGCTGGACATGTGTGAGGGAAGAAGCCTGACGCGGAAGTCTTCAACACCATCGTGAATATCTGAAGGGAAGTATTGCATTGTCTCTGTTAGATGAAACATCTATGGGGAACAACTCACTTCCCTCCCAAAAAATAATGTCATCCACTTCACGACGTCATCAATTTGCGAGTGCATGTTCGAATCTCCAGAAATAGCGTCATGATAGGATGTTTTATAAACCATGTTTTGTTCTTCATTGTTCCTTGCAATTTATTGAGTATATACCTTATATTTATAAATAGCAGACAAGAGTTTGAAGGACTTGTTTCAAACTTTATAGGCCGGACATTTGCCCGTGTCTAGTCATTGTCAAAGTAACCAGTACTCAAAGGGAGTTCAATATCCACTTGGCTTTGATTTCAGGGTTATTTATTGCATTTATTTATTTATTTCAGGGTTATTTCAAACACTTTTCTTTTCCCCAAATAATCTCACATGATACCTACATAAGGCTTGTCGACCAATGCCTTTGCAGCCAGATCGCAGGAACGCGCCATATTTCACGGGATTGTAAACAAAGAAGTGGGGGAGATAATTCAATTACAGAAACACAGGTTGACCACAAGTCTACCATTATGACTGATATCATTATAGGCATGAAAAGGGTAAAAGATAGGAAAGAATAAGAATACTCGTTTTTTAAGGCAACCACAGTTAAGTGCACTGATATCGATGATAACTACCTCAAATGAGTTATCAAATAGAAATTAATATGTATTTGGTAATTACTGCTTAAATTGGCAGAGATGTTATTTAAAGTAATTTGTGTACCACTGCCAAAATAGCCAATTGAAATGAGAAATGAATATTGTTTGTGTAAATATATCTAGTTATGGAATATGTGAAATGAAAACATTCCTACAATCATAGATGCTAAATATATACTCACCAACAAAAGAAACACAAATACCATACATGTGATTTAAACAATATTTATTTCCAAGAAAAAGGAATGGGATCGGTGAACAGGTTTGACCGATTTAAACTACTCTCCCTACAAAGGATATAAAAGTGTACCATACATGTCGGTTAACAATGGTTAATATATGAAGAATTACTCATATTCAAGGGATATATTACATTGGTTCGACGCACAAAGGAACATACTGTAATGTTGTGTGAATCGACGCTCATGAATGTATCACATGTGACATTATAGATCAATGACTCGAGATACACCATTTTTCTTGTGCAGGATTAGCGTGTAAAGTTTGGAAATCACATGCAGCATATCGTAATATAAAGATCCTCTGCAGTAACACTTAACTGATCGTTAATTTTGTCATGAAGTGGTACACGTTGGAAACCATCTCTTCTTAACATACATGCTTCCCTATATGTTTCTTGGGTTAGCTTTTCTTTTGGCACTGAGTCTAGATGCCAGGACTAGGGGTGAGTGAGTGAGTGAGTTGGGTTTAACGCCGCTTTTAACAGTATTCCAGTTATATCGCGGCGTGTCAGCTTGATGTGGGAGGAAAGCCCAAAGTGATGCAGGTCTAAGATGTTTACCACTTCGGTGAAACCCACGAGCACGGGTATGATGCTGACAAACCTAGAAACATAATCGGGGCGAACCGGGATTCGAACCCACAATCATAGGTTTCTGGCGTGCCCAAGGGACGCAACTCTGCACAGCGAATCGCGGCGCCTTAGACGACTGGGCCACCCGTGCCCCCCCAGGACTAGGATGAGAGGTTGGGCCTGGGTGAATCGGCAGTCCTAGCAAGTCTGATTAACACGGTTAAAGTCATTCACACCTAACTTTATGTCTGCTAAATCAAATGTCATGATGTACATCTAGCTAATACTGCCATTGTAAATGTATCATGGAAATGTTTTCCAAGTAAAAACTGTAATAGGAATAGGAACAATTTCACTCCAGAAACAGATGTTCCCTGACAATGACAGATACTATAGCTAAATTTATTTAGATTCCAAACTAAGAGCCATTATTTATATTCAAGTTATGGACCTTTGGAAGTTTGTAGTTTGGACCAATTATCAGTCTCTGAGCAGGTCCTGATATATCCGTGACTGGTGATCTCAATTACATGGAGATAACGTCTTATTTAACACCTGGCACTAATTACATCTAAACCAAGCAGGAACTAGGAACTATCATTGTCACTTACATCAGGATGTATCTGATTAACCTCAGAACACATTAAACTACCGATTATGAAAACTTAACCTTTAGATTAATTCTCCAAAGTATGTGTCATTGCAGTGTAGTAAATCAGCCTGATCTATATCATGTGCTGAAAGTTTGTCAACTAGCATGAAACGACATAACTTCTTCATATCTCAGGATAGATGAAATATTTTACATATATGGTCTATAGTTGTAAGTCATGCTGTTTTACTTGGGTACAACTCTAACATTCTGTTAAATCACATTATACTGGCATGCAAAAAATATATACATGTATCAAGAATTAAAAAAAAAAAATTGTCACTTGAAACGTTTCTGAAGACTTCAATTGATATATTTCGGATAGAGAAATCAATTGCACACAAAAACAATACAATAAGACAAAATGGAAAGATTTGGCAAATGAACTGTCCAGTTAATATGTCTCTATTTTTTTATTTCTTTTTTATTATTATTTTTTTATTTATTTATTCATTTATTTTATTTTATATTTTTTAAATATTTTTTTACACAACCAATTTGTAAGGATTTAGCTTCACACTTAGTTAATAAATATGGCAAATATTTACCCGTTTTCACCATTTGTAAACTTTGATGGACACCTGTAGCAAACTTAAACTTGCTGACCTGCTGTCTGCTGTATAGGTAACCTGTACCTAACAAGTATGCTACAAGACGTGCTACTCCATGTATAACTCTGTAATGTCATATACTGAATTGAATAAAAAATATTTTTTTTAAAACAAAAAACAGTTGTAAGTCAGCTGCCTACACTATTGCACAAATGTTGATTTATAATGCAGTCACTACATCAATAAACCTGAATGGCAGTAATTTATATGGGGTTGGTACATGCAAGCCATATGGTAATTAAAAAAGGGAATGGCTTTAAACAGCACAATATCCCCAACCTTTGTTTGGTATTTCCCGATGCCTTTTACATCCAGACTACATTGAGATGTCAAAGCAGTTATTACCATATGTGGTACAAAGTTAACATCATCAAAATTATAATATCTCACCAAAATAACATAGAAAGTTGCTAATTAATGTTTGTGCCCCTGCCTAGTCAATACTGGCCATGACATTGGACAAAACATACCCATTCTTTTCTTGTGTTCATGACTTCTGTAATAACATACTTATCCAGTGTGGAACAAACACTGAAATTGTGTAATTGTTTTTTGTTTGTTTGTTTGCTTCTTGCACTCAGCAATATTCCAGGTACATGACGGCTGTCTGTAAATATATTTAAATAGTCAAGTCTGGACTAGCCTACGTAATGTAGGGTCATGTCTTGACTGTTGGACCCCATCACGGGATTCCTGTCTGGACCAGACAATCCAGTGATTGACATCATGAGCATCGATCCACGCAATATGTGTACATGACATCCAAGCAACCAAATCACCGAGCCCGACCCTTTTAGTCGCCTCTCACAAGTTGCTGAGGACCTATTATACGTGTATTCCTACCTGGAATCTCACGAAATTAACGCGTATGTCAAATTGTATCGATCTTATTAACTTATTGAAGAACGTATGTATGTCATCTTACCTTTTCGTCTGAAAAAGCCAAGGGCTTGCACTTCGTGGGTCGACAGTATGGGACGGGTGGGTGTGGCAGTGTGTGTGTGGCCACACGTTAGTTGCACTCGTTCAACAAAGCTCTTGCCCGAAACGGAACAACATATCGTATGTCACTTATGACAGCGTAAGTAGTTGTGCCACGCATGTATATCCGATTACATACCACATGTGTGCGTGGCACCAGGGGTAGGCTCGTCGACCAATGCCATTGCAGCCAGATCGCAGGGACGTGCCAAATTTCGCGGGGATTGTAAACAAGGAAGTAGGGGAGATAACTTTCAATTACAGAAACGCATGCTGACCACAATTTATTGTCTCTCAGCGAATATAATAAAAAAAAAATTAATGGGTATCAAATACATTTGTATTTCAGTAATTCATATGCAATGCTGCGTACACTCTGATTCAACTATAGAACGATATAACAATAGCCCAATAGATATAAAAGAAAAGAATAAGTTGTGTTTCCTGTAAACTAACACAGAAACTTACAGAATTGTTGTTTTTTTTTATCTCATTTAAAACTTTATTTCAACAAAATAAAAAGTAAATTGCAAATGGAAGCCAGAGCAATCCTTAATTTCAGGGCTGAGGCAATCTAGACTTATGATTAACTCCTTTTTAATGTTTAGGGCTAAATATTTTATTGATTTTGAATTTGAATAAAAAAATATATATGTCAACGTGGAAATACTGGCCAAGCGTATCAGATATATAGTTTTTTCATGGCATCCAGCGAAATGCTCTACGGCATCCCGAATACCTCAGGCTCAACATCGTACTAAAAGGGGGTTGGCTGGTACCCTCAATAATAGTTTTGTATTTTCTTCAATATTTGTCTTTCAACTAGCGACACCAAAAATCTCTTTAAATAATGTTTAGTCACTTAAAAGTTGCTGTCCTCGTAGCTGACGGTATACAACAAAAGTAATTCGATCTGGACTAAGTAAATCAGTTCAGCTGCTATGGTTATCATAGGCAGCGTTACGCCCGAATCTGTAACAAGCAGAACAAGGCCGGACACACCATCATTTAAGTAGATGTCAATTAGGTAATGATATAAATGATATTGAAGTGGCCAGTGTAATGAATTATTGCAGTTAATGCACAAGACATCTGAACTTAATAAGATTCAGATCTTCAGATTACAGCTTAAGACGGGCCCACAGGAGCAGGTGGCTGTGTTGGTGTGTGTTTTGGGGGTGGGGTGGGGTTTGGAGCTAAATATATGTAAACGTCCAGTCGTGAGCCGAACATTTTGAGTAAGCACCCGTTACACAATCAAAGCCTCGATGAAAAAACTTGGACAAAGTTTTTGAAAGTGTGAAATCTCCGTGGAAACGCGGAAAATCGCGGTTTTTTTAAAAAGCTAGTCCTAGGAAAAATTCAAAGTTTTTCAAATGTATTCAAATGTTACTAACATTCTGTCTAAAACTTTGACAAAGTTTTTGAAAGGCTTTGATGGAATAGAAAGAGATCCTATTTCACATCACACTTTGATGGACTTTGAAGTCATTTAGACCATCAGAATGGAAGAAACCCCCTGTCTTGTGTTCTGCCTTTGAATGTTTGGCCTCATGTTTTCAAGAAGAAACCTGAACGTTTCCCTGCCCATTCTTAGTTGACCGAGTAGCCTTTAGCAGTATTCCAGCAATGGGCTTCATACATTGTTGCCATGGAGAGAATAGAACCCGGGTCTTCGGCGTGACGAGCGAAAGCTTTAACCATGCACTAGGCTACCCAACCGCCCCCTTTTAGCCATAGACACTGGGATACTCTCAATTCCATTCTTGGAGAAGGGTATAGTAAGCACTAAGCTGATGCCTCCTCTATTATATGGTCTCTGCTCCTCTGTAGCCATTCCTGGAACTGTTTATTTCTTTGCCTACCCGGACGCTGCCTCGTCAACATGACAATAGCGCACAATACACAAAATACACATTTTAGGTTTCAGGTTTCCTATTGAAAGCTCAGGAATATTTACATAAAATGGTTTGCACTGCTGACGTGTGAAGAAAGTAAATTTCCAATGTGACGTACCGGGGCACGTGTTATTTCAGGACATCCTTTTCGTGTGGCTCGATGACTATCCTCAATGTGTACAGCTTGCCGTGGGTTCATAGGAGAAAGCTTTCTCTCTGGCCAAGGCGGGCACTTCGTCACAAGACAGGCGGATGCTCTCACCAGTCGGCGAGTAACGACGGCATTCGGTACACTGCCAGACAATATGTGTCTCGTCCTTCCTGGTCCAGACCGCCTCCGTGGTCTAGTGGTAGAGCGTCCGCCCGGAGAGAGGAAGTTCCGGGGTTTGATCCCCGGTCGCGTCATACCAAAAGACGTTACAAGATAGTACTTGTTACCCTGTCTGGCGCTCGGCATTAAGGGGCTAAAACAAGGACTGGTCGGCTCGGAGTCAGTATACTGTGTCTCAGTGGGGTATTCATGTTAAACTGCGGCGCTATAAATCGGCATCAGTCTGGACTAGTACAAGCAGCCACACAAACACACGTACATGCACGTCGCTATATAAGTGCAATAATCTTGGACGCGACGTTAAACCCCATTTCACCTCACCTCACCTCCCTGGTCCAGACTGGGTCGGTTGATAATGTTGTCTGTCCCTCTTTGGGACTCGTGTGTGTGAGCTAGTAGGGTACATAAAATTTCTGTTTGCATTGATAAGATTTCTATTTTCGTATATTGATATGATTATATTTTCTACACTCTAAATCTATGTGTTCTAATATAGAACTCCGGACGCGTCCAAACGTTCTGCCACAGAATACGAATGTTCTTATTCGGGGAGCACGTGTTCTATTGCTGAACGCCTGTGATCTGATGTAGAACGCGTGTGTTCTCTCCTGGGAGAAGTCCATGCACATTAGCAGAGATTATGTGCTGAATATTGTTAGACAAATTTAAATTCGACCATATATTTGTGTTTTCGGAATATTTATTTTTGAGAAGAAGAGAGGCTGGTAGATTGGTAAGTCAAACAGAAAATGTGTCATATTTTGAGTTTGATGAATGATAAATAGTTTATAAACATGGCATATTTTGTGTTAATAATAACTCATATGTAGCCTGACTAAATACAACAAGAAACATTACTGAAATACAACTCATTGCTAATACATGGAAATAACTTACTTGCATTATGGGACATTTACGTGTATCAGAACACTGGCATTCTGATGGCTAATTTTACCTGGATATTTTATGTGGGCTATGGAACATATACGGTCTATTTGCTGAACACATGCGTTCTCTCCTAGAACGCATGTGTTCTGCTATGTTCTATAGTGATAAGCAGCACACTAATGTTACAGGCGAGAACACGTGTTCCATTAATAGAACATAGGGGTTCTATTTTTCTAACTAGCATTCGAAGCTGCCCATGCCGTTATGTGAGAAACTGACGTGACGTAGCATTTATTTGGCGCTACAATTTCCTATCATCTGAGGGGTATCTGTGGTAAGTATCAATCTAGGAATAATTTTGTTTCATATTTAATCCTTACCTAAAATTGTGTAATATTTCGGCGATATATTCATATGCTGATTGCATGCGAAGTAAAACCGGCCCCTTACGAAACTCATAGCAGACGACATATTCCCCGCCATTTTGACCGTCATTTCTGCCATTGTTCCACACGCATTATTCGCAAATTGTGAGATGACATTTTGAAAGTTTCCGTTTATTTGAATGATGTTCAAATAAAATGAATATATATTTCAGGTTCTATATGAATCGCCTGAAAGTGCGAAGCGGGCTACATGCAACAAATCTCTGAACATCTAAATTTGGGATCCGAGGGCATGATCAGCATGCATCGGCAATGCATCGAAATCAGCAGAGAGTAGGGTAAGTATGTAATGAACAAAAAGAACTAAACCTTCACAGGACATGTTTTGGGCTATTTTATGTGAAATATTTTAAAAGAGTCTTGTTGTTTCTATTACAGGGTGCATTGCAGATAATCAGTACAATCCTTGGAAATTATTGCACACGGCACATGTCTACGCAAAGGAGGAAAAGAATCAAGGTTTCGCAGAACAATTAAGAAGGTACTTGTGTATATTTTGCTCTTGTCTTTATCCAAGTAAGTGATAACTTTGTTAGTCAAATAACATTTTGGGCAAAACATTTTGCAACCTATAAATAATGAAACAAATGTCATGGTAATCTTGCGTTTACTAACGAACATTTGTTAGAATAATGTCTTATGTAATATGTACGAGTTTGATAACTATATGACTATGACAAAATAAATGTTTGGTGTTGTAGGCTGTTGCGGAGTCGTATTTGACATGAAGTTTCCTGAAGCATGCGATGGTCATGTGGCTGTTACGAACATCGTCCTTGGGGATATTTACCCACAAGAAACATCTGCGAAGTACTTGCGCTTCGTGAAAGACTTGAAACTTAAGTTATCTTAAGTATGGAAGTATGCTACAGTTTGCTACATGACAGTTTGTAATGTTTCATGAAGAACTCTGACTCACATATTTAAGTGACTTGAATATCCATGATCATGACAAATAAATGTAATAAAGAATTCATGGTTGCAGTTCAGAATTTCGTCCGTGTGATTTTATGCCAGAGAATATGTATGGGTATATGGTTCATATTCTTACGCCTTGAAAAAACATCGGGTAAACTGTATTCGACAACACACAATGAGTTGTCATTTCAGTACTGTGGAAGTACGTGTCCGAGAACATGTAGTGTTCTGAATCTCGGTCCAGAACACTTTACAGGCGTTCTAAAAGTGTTACATCGTCAGAACACGTTGAAGCGTTCTAAATATGTTTGTAGAACACTCCTGTTCTAGGTCGAGAACATCAACGTTCAGAATATTTTCAGAACACATGGACGCGTTCTAAAAGTGTTACATCCATGTGTTCTGTCTAGTGTTCAGAAGTAGAACACTTGGGTTTAGAGTGTATATCTTTGGCTTTTTATATACGTCGTTTGAGTAGCTGTCAGTCTCTCAGAAATAGAGTTACTTTGGCCTTCGCTATTGCATGTCTTGGATCTACGACAGACAGCGGATCTAACTGCAATTCTTGTTTTAACCGACCCCGGACTGGGGCGTGGTCTTGACATTCCAGTAACAAGTGAGCAATGGGTTCAAGTTGATTGCAAGATCGGCATACCTTCTCATAGTGCGTTATGTAATCGAGTCTGAGGCGTGAGATGGCAAGTTCAACTTTCCTTTCATTGGAGTATGAGTTTGGCTTTTGTTGGATCTTGGGTTGAATTTTGTATAGCCATCTGCCGATCTTACTTGCGTCCAAATGGGCTTGCCATCTTTGGGCTATGGAGGCTTTGATTTTGATTTTTATCTCTAGTTTACTGATGGGAATATGCTGTATCCCCGCTTTGTCTGGAGCTAGCTTCGCCAGTGTCTGCTTTTTCATTTCCATGAATACCTATTTGAGAGGGGATCCAACACACCTCCACCTGTTGCCCTTGGTCCGATAGTTTTGTATATTCGGTCTTGAATATTATTGACTGGGATTGCCTAAAAGTCGGGCCGGGCCGGGCCAGCGGGATACTAAAAGTGGATTGCAGAATATTATAACGAAACGTGGATACCTAGGCAGATCTTAAATTGTCCACAAACGTAGAGTTTTGCCCCATTAAATCAAAATGCATCGTCAACAATGTAATAAACTGATAATTTTGACTACATACCGAGAGTCCTCGTAGAAAAGCCAGTGTCTTGACTGTGTTTTCTTTGAGAAGATTTCTCACCGACCTTACTTACTTACTTACTTACTTTGGAGATTTAACGTGCGCTTTCCGACTGATGCGTATTTCGCACACGGGCCCGGCCAGGCCATTTAATGTGTTTCCGAAAGGGGCGAAGGTGGTCTGTGCAACCAAGAGGGGGGTTTTAGGGGTTGCTTATATAGAATTTGGGAATTTTGAGATTTGGAATAGATGCCGATGGGATTGGGGAGGAGAACTAAGGGAGCTGGGTATGGTGGATGTTTGTTTGTTTATGTGATTTTGATTTGGTGAGTTATTGTGTTTTTAGATGCGTTTTATTAGTTCCGTTTTGATTAAGAATACGCCTATAAGGCCTTGAAGTTTTCTAGTTTATTTTGTGGGTTTAGTATTGCTTCTAGAGTTGCTTCACCGACCTTAGCGTGTAGGGTTTTTATGTCCTGGGCAGGAATTGACAGTGTTTTGACTACTATTCTTTCATTAATTAACGTGTTGGGCATCCCTAATTAACCTTTACTAATTCATGTTAAACCAACACAGAATGTTTTCTGGAAGTGGACATTCGCGAATGTCAAAGGGCTGACACGACACGTGTTAACAACAGTCAAAACACTTCTTAAGTTACTAAACATACTTTATATCTAAAGAATAGTATTATATCTACCTACATGCCACTTTAGTGTCTCATATTGCGGTAGATAAAGAAAACACGGTGCTCAAAGTGAAGTCCTTTTCCCGCTACATTCTTTATCAGAAGTGATTGGTCTGTGTTCGGTCCGACTTGGACCGGGCTGTCAAAATCAACTTTAGACTCACAGATGCATCATCAAATGTGTTTACATCTACAGACTAGTATTATATCTACCTATATACCACTTTATATAATGTCACAGTATATCGAAATTAAAGAAAACTGGCCCGTTAAAGTGAAGCACTTTTACTGTATTTTCTCAAGGAAATCTCTGTCACATGTGTTTGCCCCGACTTGGCCCGGGCTCTCAAAATCAACTTAAGCCTAACAGATATATCTTCAAATGTGTTTCCATCTATAGACTAGAATTATATCTACCCAAATACCACTTTATAGTGTCACAGTACATCGCATTTAAATAAAATACGGTGCTCAAAGTGAAGCCCTTTTCCCTCTACATTCTCAACGTAGCCTGTATTAGAAGTGTTTGGTTTGTGTTGGGTCGGGCTTACCGGGCTGTCAAAATCAACGTTAACCTCACAGATGTATCATCAAATATGCTTACACCTATGGACTAGTGTTATATCAACCTATATACCACTTTATAATGCCACAGTACAACGCATTTAAAGAAAACTGGTCCTTTAAAGTGAAGCACTTTTTCGGTTAAAGTGAAGCACTTTTACTGTATTTTCTCAAGAACAGATATATCTTCAAATGGATTCACATCCATAGACTGTTGTTGTTGTTGTTGTTGTTGTTGTTGTTGTTGTTGCATTAAGTGTTCAAGAGGTCGCCTTCTGCCTTAGCAATATCGGCTGACCTGTCCCTCTTTGGGACTCCTGTGTGTGAGTAGGGTACACATATCTATTGTGAGTTTGGTATTCACATAATTTGTTTTTTTTGGTATTGATATGATTTCTATTTTCGTATATTGACATAATTTCATTTTTATCTTTGGCTGCTCTGTTTATATATGTCGTTCGAGAAGCTGTCCATCTCTCAGAAATAGAGTTAGTTTGGCCTTCTAGGCTTTAGAAGATCTACGACAGATAGCGGATCTAGCTGCAATTCTTGTTTTAACCGACCCCGGACTGGGGCGTGGTCTTGCCATTCCAGTAACAAGTGAGCAATGGATTCAAGTTGATTGCAAGATCGGCATACCTTCTCATAGTGCGTTATGTAATCGAGTCTGAGGCGTGAGATGGCATGTTCAACTTTCCTTTCATTGGAGTATGAGTTTGGCTTTTGTTGGATCTTGGGTTGAATTTTGTATAGCCATCTGCCGCTATAACTTGCGTCCAACTGTCTTTGCCATCTTTGGGCTATAGAGGCTTTGAATTTGCATTTTATCACTAGTTTACTAAAGGGAATAGGCTCTATCTCCGCTTTATCTAGAGCTAGCTTCGCCAGTGTGTCTGCCTTTTCATTTCCATGAATACTTATTTGAGAGGGAACCCAACACAGCTGAACCTGTCCTATAGTTTTGTATATTCGTCATAGAATATTATTGACTGCATTAGGCCAGGAGTTTGTGTTCCTGCCGCTGATGGCTTGAGGTGCACTTAGCGAGTCTGATAGGATGACTGCCTTTGCTTCCGGGAGTTCCGGTATGAGTTTGAGTGCATGATGAATGGCCTCCAAATCAGCAGTGAATACTGACTGACCATCAGACAGGCGAACCTAATGGGCTTGGTGTTTGGGGCTGTGGATATGGATCCCGTAACCAGCACTGTTGTTGATAGGATTCTTGAATCCATCAGTGTATATATGGGCCCAACTGTCCCAGGTAGTTTGTATTTTAGTGATAGCTACTGATCGTAGTAGGGCTGGGTTTTCCTTTTCAGTGATAAGTCGTTGAAAACACCTGTGACAGAGGTTTTCTTGAGATAATACAGTGGTTTGTGATTGCTCATTAATGTCATCATGTGTGCATGTTGCAATAATATGTAGGTATGCTCGTCGATAATGGGGTAATGAGCCAATATAACTTTGGCCCGTCTTGGCCCGGACAGACCTTTAGGCAATCCCATGATGAATCGCCTCCAGTGACCATCAGGCAGGGACCCGTGAAGATCCGGGGTAGAATATAGTCTTCAGCAACCCTTGCTTGCCGTATAAGGCGACTATGCTTGTCGTAAAAGGCGACTAACGGGATCGGGTGGTCAGGCTCGCTGACTTGGTTGATACATGTCATCGATCCCAATTGCGTGGATTAATGCTCATGAAATTAATCACTGGATTGTCTGGTCCAGACTCGATTATTTACAGACCGCCGCCATATAGCTGGAATATTGCTGAGTGCGGCGTAAAACAACAAACCAACCAAAACCAACCATCAGGCAGGCGAACCGAATGTGGTTGTGTTTTCGAGCTATGAATATGGATCCCGTAACCAGCAGTGTTCTGTTCACTGAATTGTTTTCACGCACGATTGCATGGACATTAAATCATAAATTACTATTTATATGGTTTCTTTACCACTGTACTGGTCCCAGCTGCCCCAGGTAGTTTGAATGTTAGTGATAGCTACTGATCGTAGTACGGTTGGGTTTTCTTGTTTAGTGACTTCTGATGTTAAAACAGTGTCAACTTTGGGAGTTTTTAGAGTCCAGGGAGGGTGTAACCCTTTGTATAGTGATATTTTGGTGGCTGAATGCCATCAGAATTGTGACTTCGGATGCGTTCACGGAGTAATATCCCAGATGGCTTATGTGGGGAATTTCCCCGAGCTAGGTCTTCATCTCGGGTGTTATGTCTTGCCATATTTTTCTCACCAAAGGATTTGATGTTTGTCCCCAGAACGATAATATTGCCTGCTCTCTTCTTTGTTTCAATGCGAGGTCTCCTGCTTGTAGCGCAATCTGCCATTTAGTTTTAATGATTCAAACGCCGTAGCCTAGGGGTACAGAGCACTCAGGTATGATTTTAGTGTGATTGCGTGACCATTAGCATGTCAGAAGACCTTTCAGTGAGTGAGTTAAAATGTAACGTCACATCGGCAATATTTCAGCCATATCGTGACGAGAACATTAATAATACTTAAATTTAGACGAATAAAATACCTGTCATCGAAGGACAGTATAATAACTAGTATATCACAGTTTATAAGTAAAACAAGTTTAGAGCAATTAAAAGAATAACCTATTATTCAACAATATATTATAAAAACGGGCTATAGATCGCCAGCAACCAAAGTTAGGCCACCTTACTGGGGACCGTGGGGACTTACAATACCTCTGCTACCTGCACGGCTCCCCAGCATGATTTATACCATCAATTCAGCTGCTGGTGATGGTGCGCAATTAAGCCACCATAAAAAAGAAACAAATGTACTACGTTTAAAAACTGTGGTTGGAATAAACGTACTTTCAGGATGTGGTATTACATATCCAATCAGGGAGAACACCTTTTTATTTAACATTGTGTGCACTTATATAACAGAGAGTGAGACTCACGCATGTTGGAAACTATCAAGATATGTGGCACATTGTAGAGCGACCCACGGTCACT